GCTAACCTGTCTGAACTCTCTCTTTGAACACAGCTGGAAGCCAGATTCTCTGTCATGGATTCAGAAGACTTTCCAGCCATTCTCTGGCGAAGCATTGGGGTGTAGATGAAGAGACCCATGGGACTCTGCTCTTATAAAAAAAGTGCTTCCACTGGAGAAAGGGCCTCCCAATTCTGGGAAGTGAGAATAGAGTAATAGAAAAGCAATGAGAGTGTGATGAGTGAACAGATCCTTTAGAGAAGGAAACATCTACAATTTTCCAGACATTAGGTGGACAATTGTAGTGTAGAAATAAGCTCCCTTTCATCACCGTTGAAGGAATAATTCCATCAGGACTGTTTGGGTTCTTCATGCTTGTGATTCTTTGAATGTGAACTCATGACTCAATTCTGAATGGTCAACTTTGGGAAAGAAGTGAAGACTTTGGTTCATTAGGCCGGGAACTTATTAAACCGAGAGGTAAAACAAATATGGGCCGTGAACATGGTTATGGTTGGCCTCTACACTTCCCACTTGGCATTACCGATTTGGCTTCTTGCGGGAACTTGTTTCTATTGGCTTGTTGACGTTTTACAAGTTTGAAGAAGCTATGGACAAGTTTAAAATAACAGTCCTGGGACTTTGGAGGACTGTAGTGTCCAGCCCTCATCCTGACTGTCCTAAAAAGCAATCTGGATATATTAATAGAGCTTAGCCTCTTTGTGTTTGTGCAAATGTGTCTTTTATGGAGGGAAAAGGACTCAAGCAGTGGCTCTCCGTCTCCCTGTGGGAAGCCAACCACAAGTTTTCTCTCCAGCGCCGAGCACGGATGGATTCCCGGAAGCACTCGCTCGGATAGAGTGGAGTGACTTTTATCATTGTATCATCTGACCAATTCCCAAATGGAAATTATGTCATAACATTGAAGCATTCAAGTCACTCACTTTCAAATCTGTTTCACATTGCTTCATTTGTTTTATACTCTCAAACATCCCAGACCACAGTTGCTGTTAAATTTTATGAAGCATCCAATGGAATAATTTGAGCGCAACAGTTCAGCGACTTCAGGAAGGAAATGATTTGGCACGGCAGACAGATGGGTCACACTGTTTCAGATGTAGTGAGGCACTGAGGTTTGCAATCAGTTACTGGACACCAGATGACTTGAGGCAGGGAGCAAGATCTGTCAACAGTTGCTGCTGTTTCAAACCAGCGCACACGTCTGGAAACCCTGCAATAACTGAACATTCATGTCGAATGGAAAATCTTCAGGTAAACAGACACTGGGATGGTTTAGAAAAGAGAAAAGCAGTTCATGGCTTGGAGGGCCACTGTACTGCAGAGTTTGGCTCCACCACTAATCAAAAACACCTGCCTACAATTTCCAATAGGGCACTATTTGTTGGGAAAGCCAAACATTGGAAAGAAACTCCTTCAAATGGACTATAGAGGTGGAGTAATGTAAAGATTAGTGAATGAGGGTGTGATTTTAAACACAGCACTTGGTTAGATATTTTAGGCGTGTTTGATTGGGGATAGAGGTCATGGGCTGGAGGAAACTAGTCAAACTGAGTCTCAGCTATTCTTGCTGAGAATTTCCTTCCATATCTTTCACCCTAGTTGGCAACTAGTAATTTTATCAACACAACCTTCAAAAGTTTGAGATTAAACTCATTGTTAAAGGGAGCTTTCATTCTTATTGTTAGCAATACATTATTTGGGATACAATTGGGGTAATCCACCACTGGCACCATGTTGCGTAACTCCGCCATTGACTTAATTTTACAGAATTTACGACAAAACGCTTCTCCGCCATTGACGGAAAATTTCAGCAATCCATGTTTTAAAGGATACTCCACTTGCTTTACCATTTTCGAATCCATTCAGCCGATTTTCTGATATTTAGAAGAATATCAGTAACCTAGCCGCGAGGAACCTAAGCACAGTGGAACAATAAAAACCCTCCGCCGCCAACTAGCGTTTCGGAGCAGTACTGCAGAGCAACCAAGACCTGAACGCAGAAGTATAAATGCTCACGACGCCGTCGCCTACGCCGTACCCTCAACACAGAAGTATAAATTGGCCTTTAGGATACATTTACATTAGCCTGGCTGCGCCCTCCTACGCACTTCCGCTCAATTTCATTTTACTTCAGTACTACGTCTGGGATCGCTCCATATCCTTAGGTTTCCAGAAATCAATTTTTTGTAGGACCAATCAGCGAATAGAGGGAGTGGCTGAAAACGATGACGTTGATGTAAGCGCGTCAGTTTGAGTTCAGTAATGGCAGCGGAGAAAGACGTGAGAAAAGCTATTCGGTCCGTTGTTGGAAAAGAAACTGCCGAATATACAGAATTTAAAGCCGGATTGTTATCGTCTAACCTCTTGTTGCACAACTGAGGACCAAGTGAAGCAGGCAGAAAGTTTGGAAGTTTGTGCTGGGCAGCTCGTGCACCACGATGACCGTGACATTTTGGACGGACGGTTTAGCCTGGTGTTCGCGGTGTTCGGAAGCCCCGAGTCCTGGCTGCTAAACTATTGTTGAAGATCCGCTCAGGAGTCATGTCAGACGCTCATATTCCCAACTGTAAATTTACTGATTCTTGTGATGAATAGAACATTTTGAGCCCCTTTGTGCACTCGTGCAGGAGGTTGGTGTGTCAGTTTTACATGTTGTAAATCATACAAATTGGTTGTGATTTAAAAAACATAATTGTCATAAATAAAAATGTGAAAAACCATACTTTGAAGATATTTGATTTTCAGTTTTAGATGTCAATGGTTGATTTGTTTTACTAAAAAAACTAAATGCCACATAAAAATGTACAAACACATACTTTGAAGACCATAATTAAGGTAATTAAGAAACAATAAGACGTAATATGAAAAATTGTTGTTTATTATCACATCTGCAAATAGAGACAAGACTGATCATTCACTGTAGCAGCTAACGTTACAGCATTTGCGGCAGATCAGAAACGACCACAGCGGCTTATTTGTAATGATTAGACACAGCTTCCACCGTTGAATGTATATATCACTGTCCTTCAAGTCAAATATACATTTCGAATTAATAATTGTTCCTAGATTAACAAAACCTGCGGCGCTCGTTGACTGAAATCCTATTGTAAACATAATCCTCTGATCATTCGGACTTGTTGTTTCCAGCCATTTCGGCGCGAGACATACGTCACTCACGACACCCCGTTAACGATTGGCTATGGCAGATCGTGAGTGACTTTGGGCAGATCCAATAGATTTGAACTTTAATAGTGAACCCGCCTACAAGGAAGAAAACGTTTCTCAATGGAGCGGTTCCAGACTCTATGTGGAAATGAAATGAACTAGAGTCTGGTTGAACCAGGCTACATTTACATGTCAATGATGTACTAAAAGTCGAAAAGATTTTTCTTTGCTTTTTTTCGCACACAGAGTACAGCGTTGTCAAAATGATCCCCGTTCACACGGATCCATGAAAACTTTTAAAGCGCTATTTTATTCATGCCAGGCCAGTAGGTGGCGACGTCACTTTGTAAAGAAACGCTACGTGCCTACAGACAGAACACGTAATACACATGTGCACGACGTCACAAATTTTTGCAACAATTTTACAAGTTTTGCAACAATAACGGTATCGGTTTTGAAAAACTTTGAAACCCATTTTCTAAAGTTTGCATTTTCAGGCCCCAAAACACTGTTGCCGTCTAAATGAACGACCAAACTGCCAACATGACATCATAACTTTGCATAAACATACAAGCCAATTTCAAGTCAAGTGGCGTGTTATCTAAACACATTTTGAGCTATTCGCGTGTATGCGTGTATGTCTACGGCTTAAATGTCCGAGTGATTTCGCGTGTACGTACACGCCGTTAAATGTCCGATCGAAATGTAGATCTACATCTGGGGAGCGATATGTTTTTTCCTAGGATGGTAGGGGAAGACTCATAAATGGTATTAACCCCAGTGACGGGTATGTTTAGGGATGGGGTTGGGGTAGGTCATATATTTATATATACAGTAATGTAACGTTAAGTCAACGGCGTTCATAAACACGCTGAAAAGCGATTATGCGTGTTGATAGCACGCCAAAAATGGAAATACGAATTGGCATGTCATACATACGCCATTTCATGAGATCATTCTGAAATTGCATACATTTTTTTTTTTTGAAAACGGTATCATGTAAACGGCCCCTATTTGACACAAACTTTCACTTAAAGGGATAGTACACCCAAAAATGATAATTCTGTCCCTCACATTGTTCCAACCCCATAAGACTTTTATTCATCTTTGGAACACAAATTAAGATATTTTTGTTTAACAGCGCTGCGTCACGCATCACACACATACCAGTGTCGGCGGATAGTGAGCCTACGTGTGACGTACAAACAGTGATGTAGTGAGAAGTTTATGCCCCCAGTATTTTAAGCGTCCCAGCAAAGGATGAATGCTCTGTGTTATAAATAGTGACATGTAAGAATATGCAAGACTATAGAAAATAATAAATACAATAGAACAATCGCTAGCATCAAGCTCTATAGCGCCCCTCTGTGACCAATGCCAGAACTGAAACTCATTTGGCACAAATTATATTCATTACAACATTCAGACGTTCACATTTCTCTTGTAATGTAGCTGAATTAAGATTTAGTACTTAAAGTATTTAATCTATTTCACAATATATATATATATATATATATATATATATATATATACTATGCACAATATATATATATATATATATATACACAATAATATATATCCATTTTTTTACAGGAAAAAAAAAAATATTTTCATTACTTCTGAAGGATCACGTGACCCTGAAAACTGATGAAGTCATTCTGATATGATGAAAACAGTTGCTTAATATTTTTTTATAACCTGGTTTCTTTGATGAATACAAAATTAATATTGCTAGAGGGGTTGGGGGGGCATGCGAAAAAAAAAAATTCAACTGAAGAACTAGGTGCTAGAAATAAAGTATTTCAAGTCAAACAAACAAGGCGGCATTATACAAATGGTAGAGAAAACATTTTATAATATATCTTGAGATATTTTCAGTCGACATTCGCATTGGATAAAATAATCTTAAAAACTGCATGAATCATACAGAGAATCACACACTCAGAATGAAATATAGAAGACATGCAAACAAGGTTATTACAACATTTAAAGTACCACAAAACACCAAATGTTTCCCAGCCCAAGACGATGTATGTACAGAATATACATAATTTACACCCCTTACTCAGTGGTCGGATTATGATTCACGTGTATGCTGTTTGAACTAAGAAAACAGTGGGGTGTACATGCTAACACACGCAAGATTTCCATTCAAATATGCATTTAAACATCATCAACCTGCAATTAAATACATGATGAACATAATAAAAGTATAGTTTGTTGAAATTGGTATTATGTAAACTTACTACACTAAAATGTAATATTTAGCTAAAAAAATGGGCCCACGAATGTGTACATTGATGCATTTACTTAAAAATTGTTTGGTATGTTTCATAAGTTAGATCCTATGGCTCAATTACATTCATCAAGAGATTCTATATAGATATACTGATTAAGCAATGAATTAAACACTACATTTACATTAAAAAGACAAAAAAAAAAAAACGCAATATAATTCAACTGGTGCTGCTCAGATTATGTGGGCAACAATACTGATTTTATAAAAAAAAAAACACCTTTATAAGATGTCCCATTGTCACGTGAGAAATACCTACTGATGAAAAAAATCCCATAAAAAAAATGAGGAGGTTGTTATGGAGTGATTATACCAGCCGTTCGCTCAGTAGCGGTTCAGTTTGTCCGGGTCGTTTGAGGCCATCTGGGTGAAGTCCTGGAAAATGTCCTGGTACGTTTCATCTCCTGTGAAGAGAAACCAACGTGATTAAGAGAAGGATTGATCTGCATCAAACACGCTCAACACACACACGAGCACATGCTGTAATCTGAAGAACACACACACACACACACACACACACACACACAAGCTCCATACCTGCACTATTCACAGCAGAAACTCACAGAACAGCAGGAGAACGCAGGAGAAAAGAGCAAACGCAGTGTTTGAGAAGCACATGATGAGATATCAAGTATATTTATTGACTATTTACATGATATCTATCATATAGGAAACAATGAAACACTCGAGTGTGAAGATTCCCATGTAAAGATAGCCGCATGAAATATGTATCAGTGTTCCAAAGAAAAGAGAAACAGACAGTAAATACATGAATATACAATGTTTTTGATGCTTTAATAACTCCATCACTTAAGGCCTTCTGAACGTATTAATAAACCTGAGGCTCACAATTTTGAATATAACATTTCGATTAGAGATATGTCTGTGCGAAATGAAGCAGAGGAAGAAAATGAAACGCTTGAACTGCGTTGTGGGGCGTAAAGACCAGCTCTATAGCACCCCTCTGTGACCGATGCCAGTACTGCAACTCATTTGGCACAAATTATATTCATTACAACATTCAGACGGTCACATTTCTCTTGTAATGTAGCTGAATTAAGATTTAGTATGTAAACTATTTAATCTATTCCACAAAATATATATATAAGATTTTTTTTTTTTACAGGAAAAAATATTTTCATTACTTCATCAGTCTTCAGGGTCACGTGATCCTTCAGAAGTCATTCTGATTGGATGAAAACAGTTGTGCTGCTTAATATTTTTTATAACCTGATTTCTTTGATGAATAAAAAATTAAAAAATAATAGCATGTATTCACAATAGAAATCTTTTGTGACATTATGCATTACCGTTTAAAATTTTTTTTTTTTAAGTAAATAAATACTTTCATTCAGCAAGGATGTGTTAAATTGCTAAAAATTGATGTAAAATTTCTATGGTTATAATTAATAAATACCTTTCACTAATAAATCAGTATACTAGAATGATTTCTAAATGGTCATGTGACATTGAAGATGGAGTATAATTCAAAAAGACAAGGATTTTAACATTGCAGAAAAAAATATATATAAATAGCATATATTATATTAATTACCATTTATCTGCATAACACAAAAGTGATTTTTAAAAGGTAAAATAAATAAATAAATAAATAGATATATAAATAAAAATTGTGCTTCAGTCAGCACAGATCTGTTATGCATTCGTAACAATGATCTATATTTTATCTATGGCCAAATGCAGCGGTCCACTACGTCTTCATAGATATAATATTTATAAAACACACTGATTTGATTTCGACAATTTCACTTTCCCATGAATATACAAGCGATAAACACCAGGAATGTGTCAGAATAATCATAAACGCAATGAGCTTTCATTGCTCGGCTCGTTCAGACAGTTAAAAGACAAATACACACTCTGTAAATAAGGTGCATGTGTGTACTAGGTAATGTCACTCTTTCACAAGACTAGTTATTGCACGTGTATCACTTGGGCTGGATGAGCTCGGCTTCATATACTGGCGGTGTACATTCGGTTGCTACAGGTTTGTGTGTGTGTGTGTGTGTGTTAGGCGTCTCGGAGCTGCAAGCTAATGAACTCCTCCATACACTTGCGGTACTGCATTTCAGTAGGGCTGTTAGAGTTATAATGACCTGAGTGACTGTACGGACCCTCCGATTCTCGCATCTCCTCGTTCATCTTGGCCAGCCGAAGCCTGTCAGACACACAGCCGACACCGCGTTAAACATTTTATGATCTCTCAAGAAGCATCAAACGTGTGAAAGCGAGGGGAACTTACAATGTGACGATGTCAGCGTTTGCTGCCTCGACTGCGATTGTGAGTGGCGTTTGATTCTCTGCGTCTGCTGCGTTCTGATTGGCTCCACGTTTTAGAAATAAACACACTTGTCTGTGGTGGAACAGAAAGAGAGCATTAAACCATGATTCACAAATATGAAAAGCAAAAACTGCGCATTGAGCAGAGCTAACCCAGTATGGCCCAGTATAGTGGCGTGATGTAAAGGTCCTCGGCCCAGCTCGTCCAGCTGGTTGACACTGGCTGAATTCTGGAGCAGGAATTCACAGGTGACGAGAGACCCCTGATGCAGACACACACACACACGAGACACTGTCAAACACTCTAAATGTTAAGTCTGAATAAAACATTACGACTGTAATGTGATGCATTTTATATTCAAATATTAGCCAGAAATGCTTATTGGAATAACATGCACTGATGAATCATATAAGACCAAGGACATTTATTATTTAAAAAGTAAAAGCAATTATTATTTTAAAAAAGTTAACATCTACTTAAAGGGATACTTCACCTCTGGAAAGATGAATGTGTATTTAAAATGGGTGATTTATGTAGAAGAAATGTGAAATTATTTTTGAATTTGGAGCTTTCTAGACTGAGAAAAGCCAGAAAATGTATTTTGGCTGATGTGGATGAAAGACAACAACTCCCAGAATGCACTTGCTTCGCTGTCCTAGGAGGCCACGCCTACCGGTAACAGTGGCCTACTAGGTAAACAACAAGACCAGGCTACTAGTGAGTCTCTGTGATGAGTCTGCCCGAAAATGTGTTTCGAGATCGACCAAAATGTCCGGGATTCGGCTTTTGCGTTCAACAGTCGCCATTCATCATGTTTACTGTGGCAAGCGGGATGAGTGAGGGCCTGCGGGAGAACGGCGCGAGGACGGTGGCATGATTACCGATGAGCGACACCTGTGAGACACTCCGGTCTCGTATCTCTCACTGAGGAGCGGGAATTTTCTTAGCAATGTTAAAACGCAAACAACCGATTAGCGTTCATGTAAACACTACATTCAGATATATGGCGATCAAAAACACGACACGGAAAAAAGCAAAAGCAAATAAAAAATTAAACAAAAGCTAAAAAACATTAAACAAAAAGAAGCAGCAAAACAAAAGTGATAGCAAAATAAAACACAAAAAGCAAACAAAAAAAGAAGCAAAACAAAAATGATAGCAAAACAAAAAAAAGAAGCAAAGCAAAACACAAAAAGCAAACAAAATAGAAGCAAAACAAAAACAAAACAAAAAACAAACAAAAATAAGCAAAACAAAAATGACAGCAAAACAAAACAAATAAAAAAAGAAGCAAAACAAAACACAAAAAAACAAACAAAAGAAGAAGCAAAACAAAACAAAAAAAGAAGAAAAACAAAACAAAACACAAACAACAAACAAAAAAGAAGCAAAACAAGAACTATAGCAAAACAAAACACAAAAAAAAACAAAAAGAAGCAAAACAAAACAAAAACAACAGCAAAACAAAAAAGCAAAACAAAAACAATCAAAACGATAGCAAAACAAAACACAAAAACAAACAAAAAGAAGCAAAACAAAAATGATAGCAAAAAAAAACAAAAACAAAAAAAGAAGCAAAACAAAAATGATAGCAAAAAAAAAAAAACAAAAACAAAAAAAGAAGCAAAACAAAAATTATAACAAAACAAAAAGAGAAGCAAACAATAAATCACAAAATAAATAGCAAACCAAAAAAAAAAAAAGCAAAAAACCACAACCCCCCCAAAAGGGAGCGTGTAAAAGCATTGTGACGGTGGTGTGTCAGGCTTCTGTATAACTCAAACCCGCCGCAGTTCATCAGGTTCAGTGTGTGAGAGTGTGTCCGCACCCCATGAACGGCCATGATGAGCGGAGTCCTGTTGCCATCGTCTGTGTTGGTCCAGTTGACTCCGCCCCCGTGCGCCAGAGCTTCGGCCATGTCGGGTAAACTGCGTGCGAACGAGGCCCAGTACAGCTGCAGCCCCGGGCTGAACTGCTTCGGCTCCAGGAACACCACCACAGCTTTCCCGGGACACTCCTCTGGGGGATCTGCAACACACACACACACACGAGCTTTATCTACAGCTGAACAACTCTGCAACACTAATAACACTGTCAAGTCAAATATATTTATATAGCGCTTTTCACAATACAGATTGTATCAAAGCTGCTTCACAGTATCAATCAAGACAACATCACAGTGTTTGTTTATTCATGGAAAAAAGACAATCAAGTTTGCTAGAGCTGATCAATGATGGGTCATTTAATTTGAATATCCCCAACTGAGCAAGCCAAAGGCCGAAAAACTCCATCAGATGACCCGATGGAGAAAAAAAAAAACCTTGGGAGAACCCAGGCTCAGTCGGGGGCCAGTTCTCCTCTGGCGTTTATGAACTAGAGGCCAAATTTACAGTAACTGTAAGATAAAAAATGTATATGAATGCCAGGCTAAATAAATGCGTCTTCTTTAGTCTAGCTTTAAACTGAGAGAGCGAGTCTGAGCAACGAACAATATCAGGAAGGCTATTCCAGAGCTTCGGAGCTAAATGTGAAAATGCTCTCCCTCCTTTGGTGGATCTGGATTTTTTTATAAACAAGTTTATATCTAAAAGTCAGAATTGTGAGATGCAAAAGAATGTCTAGCAATTGAGATTTTTTTGTTAAACTCTGAATTATGGGGAAAAAAATTGGAAATGCAGGAGAAGAGTCGAGTTTGTATCGGTATTGTGACGGAAAAAGTGAACTGTGAGTTTATCTCTCGTAATTGCAAGAAACAAAGTCAGAATTGTGAGCTATAAACTCGTAATTGTGAGAAAAAAGTCAGAAACATTTATATTGGAATTGCACGAGAAAAGCCCGAATTTCAAATTACAGACTTGGAATTGCGAGGAAAAAGTCAAAATTGGGAGTTATAAACTTGAAATTGCAAGAGAAAAATCTGAATTGCAAGCAATAAACTTAGAATTGAATAAATATCTAAGAATTGCGAAAAATATTCGATTTTTTAATTTTTTATTTATTACAGAAACAAGCTTTCATAATTATTTAATTAAATAAATATATGTGCTGGGTGTTTCAGAGCGAGTTTTTTTCTGTTAAATTAAAAGTTTTGTGGTTCCCAGAGACCAAGACGATAGAAAGCGCATGAACTTTATAAAAACCACAGCATTTAGTTTGAATAGTGATTTCCACAAATAAAAGTACAGTTTCTCTGTTCAGTATGAGCATGAGTGACAGAGGCTTAACCTTTCGAAATGGAGAAATTATCGTATTGTAATTTAACAATTGCCATTATATTATTTTTCTTAAATACTTGATATTTTTAAAAATATTCTTATTTTAACATTTTTTTTATTATTTTGTAATAATAATTATTATCATAAAAATTATTATCATTAGTTTATAGTCATAACCACACATTTTAGACCAAGTTTTACAGGCAAAGGCAAAACCTGGAGTTTCTTTTAAAAAAAAAAAATCAAAAATCAAAAAAACGCCCCCTGGAAGTGTTTCCCCTGGAGCTCGTGTGTTGATCAGACTGACCCGTGTTGTTGAGCGTGTTGGAGGACGCGCTCGTGCTGCCTTCTGATTGGTTCTGCACCTCACCGTCGGCACTTTTCACTGTCAAACAGAGATCAACTTACAGACTCTTCCGTAATACTGTAGGCAAACCATCAATGACACAAAACATGGCGTGAAACTAAACATGAAAACACACATTCAAAGGAGAAAACAAATAGAGGGAATGCATTGACGTCACTTTCCCGCCGGAACAACCCCCCTCAGCCTGACTGAGTGGCAAAAGATCGGCTGCGTGACTGAATTTAATAGGGGAAACTGCGAAAATGCGACTAAATCGAACAATTTTATCAATTTAAACTAAATGTTGGACTCAATATAGTGTTCCTCACAACTTATTAAAGATCCAGTGATCCATGGATATTGACATGCAGCCAGGAATCGTGTTGCCTGACATTTATGTTTGCCTGATTTCGACACCGGGGAAATAAAAGCAATATAAACCTAAACATAAAGCAAATTTGCCTGTGAACGCTTTATATAAATACAATATAGGTAGGTCTAAATCCGGGTGATCACTTATATCAGTGTTATATATAGCCTAAATATATATATATAGCATATCGTCCAGCCCTAAAACTTTAGAGTTTTTTTGTTGTTTTTTTGGTCAGTGTTTATTAAAAAACATCCAATAATGCAGAATATGCAATGATGAATATTTAATTGATGAGTTGTTAATATATATAACAATACAAAATATATATGTATGGTTTTACAGCTAACAATACAAAAACAAATACAGCCGCTCAGTCTTTTTGCCACTCACTGTGAGTAACTGCAGGCACTCCGGCCGACGGTGACGTCACGCGCATTCCCTCTATTGGCATGAGCGATGTGAAAGTTTCTTACAAAGAAACGTGTGATGGGATGTTGAGCGATGGAGAGACGCTGCAATGTTTCCTTCACTGAAAACCCACCCGGGTGTCGGTTGAGCAAATTTCAGAATTTGAATTCAATTTAAAGCTAAATTCTATCTGGGACTGAGGTAGCGAATGGAATGCGGAACTACTGAATTTGAATACAAACAAGGAGAAAATGGAGGGAAAACACTCCATATGGCATAACTTCAGGAGATTAAAGTGTAATCAGAAATGTGTGCTGGTACATCTCAATATAACAAACAACAGATTAGAATTTTGATTTATACATATAATTATATTGTAATATAATTCTTGCCAGGTAATGAAATGTGTTTTGTCACAGATTTTAGTATTGTTTTATTCATTCAGTATATGTAGGATGTGTAACGAGTTCAACTCAAATCCACACGGTGACAGTGAATTTTGCTCAAGCGTGACACTGAATAAGACACAGACAGCTGTACTTACAGCGGCGAGGCTTGGCGGACGAGTTAAAGTAGGAGAAGAGAGAATCAAGCTCATCTACACAGAAGAGAGACTCGTGGTGCGCTTCAGCAGGTTAGGGTCACAGAGAGGGGCAGAAACACACAGTAAACGCACTTCATTGAGCCTGCGGCCCCGTTCAACACCGTCAGAGAGAGGTCAGATAGAGGTCAAGGTCAGATAGAGGTCAGCTAGAGGTCAGGTAGAGGTCTACTCGGGTCCTGAGATCTGTACCCGACCCCAATCACTTCTTACCACTGATCTATATAATGACTGCCATCATCGGAAGTGTTCAAGCGGCCATCTTACTATTCCCTGCAGAGGGCGTCATCGAGTTACGTCCAAACACTGACCTACAAACACCCGATTTGCAGCGTCTCAGTCGCACAGGATTAGTTTTATGACATATGTAAATGAATTGTTCTGATGTCATCTGTTTCGGAGAGTGTTGAAATCGTTAATGTGGGTGTGTCTACTGCACACTTCCCACACAGGAAACCGTCCGAACACAAAAATAGATTTATATATTTATAAATGTGTACGTAATTATGGAGGAAATATTAAAAAATGAACATATATGTAAGGGTTAATGCCCGACGGTTAATTCTTTGCGACGTTTCTCCGTTTTATTTACATTTTTTCTTTCTTCAGCAGCATCCCAGTCGTCAAAGTTGTCATATTCTCCATAAATGTTAAAAGAAATAACGAAGTCGCTCATTGTTGTATTAGTAGGCTGTGTAATATCTAACTAACGTTAGATGTTGTTTTGATAGAGCAAATTGTTAACGGATACTTTGACTGCCTGTTGCTATGGTTACTCACAGCTGTTGTGGGCAGCGCATTTATTTATTCATTTCGAATGGTAAACAGGCAGTTTCACCAGAACTACTTTACTAGGTGTCCTCTATCACTTTTTAACGGACACCCTGCAGCCAATCAGAATCGAGTATTCACCCAGACCATGGTATAACTGCGTTTAGTTGATTCAAATAACATAAATATTAATACAAGCCTCTGTTACCATATTGGACTATATTGTATTACAATTCAATACCATCTGGGATTCAGTTTTATTTATTTATCTGAATAAGTTATGCATGCATTTAATTTCCCATTTGAGCAACATCTATTTCAGACTCTTAAAGACAAATTCTGTTGTGATTGGTCTACTCTGCTCTGATTGGTCAGATGGCCCAGTCTGTTGTGATTGGTCTACTCTGCTCTGATTGCTCAGATGACTCAGTCTGTTGTGATTGGTCTACTCTGCTCTGATTGGTCAGATGGCCCAGCCTGCTGTGATTGGTCCATGGTTTTAAGCTGCAACATAATGTTTTGCAAAGAGACATAATAAATATATATGATATCCAAAATTTTGACTTATTTTTTCTTTACCTTATTGGGATTTAAATTAGGAATCGATAAGCAGAATCAGAATCTAAAAAACCTTCAAACGATACCGAACCCAGCCCCAGGTCGGACCTCTGGTTTGCGTGTTGAAGTGAAGTGGACCCTTGTAGACCTCTACCATGAACATCTGTCTATGGTGATTAAATCACTTGGACAATGACATGATAATACCAGCTAAACGGGGCCATGGCAGGACAAAGCAAAGGTTTAATTGAATCAGCAGAGGGTCCAGTTGCAGAATAGAGACGGCGGCTCACATTGGGTTTGATCAGACCTGATGGTCAACTCACCAGAGGCGCCCGAGGCTGGATGGGGTTTTGACGTTGACGGTCCACTTGTAGGTTGAGCATCTGAGCAGTCGCTGAGACGTTTATCTTGTTTACTCAGTGATAAAACCTTCTGTCTGATCTCATCTTCCGACCGTCTCTGCACAAACCGTCGCTCCACATACTTGGCTTTAATGTAGGCCTCCACCTCATGCCTGTGGGTCACAAGGAACAAACGGTGAGCTTTTACAATTGAAAACGCTCTTGGTTTAAAAAAATTCTTGGTTTTAAAAAAAATGGGTGGTCATTACGAATTACAAATAGATTTTTTAAAGCTTTTGAAATTAGTCTCTTCTGCTCACCAAGGCTGAATTTATTTGATCCAAAATACAGTAAAAACGCTAATATTATGAAATATTACTACAACTACACCTCATGCCTGTGGGTCACAAGGAACAAACGGTGAGCTTTTACAATTGAAAACGCTCTTGGTTTAAAAAAAATCTTGGTTTAAAAAAAATGGGTGGTCATTACGAATTACAAATACATTTTTTAAAGCTTTTGAGATTAGTCTCTTCTGCTCACCAAGGCTGAATTTGTTTGATCCAAAATACAGTAAAAACGCTAATATTATGAAATATTACTACAATTAAAAAACATGTTTTCTGTGTGAATATCTTATATATAATTTATTCCTGTGATCAAAGTTGGATTTTTTTAGTCTCATTACTCCTTCAATGTCACATGATCCTTCAGAAATCATTCTAATATGCTGATTTACTGCTCATTAAATGATTATTATCAATGCTGAAAACAGTTGAGCTGCTTTATACTTTAATAAAAACCACTTTTTTTTTTTACCTCGGATCTCCTGGTTGTGGTTTTCTGGCTCCTAGTTCTTCTCGTCGAGCTTCGTAGATCTGATTTATGACTCCATTTCCCAGCTCACACATCACCTTAATAAACAATTAACTGTATTATTCATTCATATATAAGAATTGAAGCAGTCCCCCCACTAAAAAAAAAAAGCTGTACTATTTTAAAATGAGAAAAAAATCCTCTTGAAAAATGTGTATGTGTTTGACAGAAACGAAAATGTCTCTTTTTCAGGCAGACAGACGATCTCAGAAAACCTAAAATCTGTTGCGTGTCTGAAAACGATCTATGAATTCACGTGTACGAGGTAATGAGATGTTTATGAGATGAAAGACACGGACAGATGTTCATTTGCTCTAACAACCATCTGTCGACCCCATCCATATGTTCATTATGGTGGGATTGAAGCCTCGTGTCTCACCTTGAGCAGTTCAGGCTCCCATGTGTCCAGCGTCAGAGATCTGACCTTAGAGAAATGAACTCCAAGACTCCTGACAAACAAAACATATAGAAATAGATCTGACTTTACATAACATGAAGCTGTTATTTGCCTTTTTTTCTATTATCGGCATTTACATTATGTGATGGCTTTGATTTTGACAGTGTGTGGGACTTTTATTTTGACAGCACAAGAAGTATTTGAATATCTAATGAACATTTAATTTCACAAACGTTGGCAAATTTTAGCCATCAAATAATAACTGGCCGCACCTGTGTATCCCGGAGCACTGTATGCAGAGAGTGATGCCCAGGTTGATGCTGGCCCAGCACGGGTCCGGTTGCCCACAGTCACAGCAGCTGCTGTTCCCAGCGATGGCCATGACCTTCTGCAGCGCACCGTCCCCCTTCAGAGACTTCTCCTTCGCTTCGCCCGCAGAGTCCAGACTGCCGGTCGAGGTGGACGACTTTCTGTCCATCTTCTGCAAACACATGCCACGGTTACACCGAGCTCCTCCAGCTGGGCATGAGCGAGCTGAAGGAAAGAGAAAGCGTGGTACCTCTGCGTCCTCTGCTCGGTCCCTGAAGGCGGTGGCGATGCTGTTCTGGACGGCTTTGATCCAGGCCTGCCTGAGCTTCTCAGAGTCCGCTTGCATCATGCAGCTCCTTTAAGAGAAAGAACGTCACCTATCTGACATACGCACTGCGAAATAATCAGACAAGAGTGCGCCGTGGTAGACGCAAATACGTCTAGTTCGCGCGAATTGAGCTTCTGACGTGTTAAGCGCATTGCGCGCGAATGATTTAGTTAGTGCTATTTGTGCATTCACGCATTTGACGCGAATTCGCGGCTGCCGCCCGAGTTGAAAAATCTGAACTTTGGCGTGAATTCGCGCCGTGTTAACCAATCAGGAGACTAGCTGCTTGCTCACGTGGTGAAGTATCTGATGCTTCAATAAATTATTTTGTAATATGACTAAATGCCTGGTGTGGTTCTAATGCACAACAAAGCAAATATTTTATCTCTTAAAACTTTATTTCAATATACGAAACATGTTCATTTTGTATTGAATGTTGTTTATTCCATATCTAGATTATATGAAATATTGTTATGATGTAAAGACAACCAACATACATGAGCATAAGTTTGTGTCTGGACGTGAGAGAGAAAAAAAATCACAGGACAGGTTAATAACTTTTGGAGGCTGGCTCTATTTATCATCAAAACTGACAAAAAAATAATAAAAAATAAAAAAATAAAATAAAATAAATGACAGATTAGATGGATGAGGGCGAGGGTGATCCTCGCTCCGTTGCGGGACAACAGGTCATCAAACTGGGCGCCGGACAGGCAGAAGTACCGCTGACAGCGGCCGTCATCCAGCGCAGCTCCTGGAGCGAGCAAATGGTGAAACTCGCCAAACGGTTCGCCTTCGAAGTACAAATACGGCGACGATGATCCCCACGCCGCTGTTCTCCTCTCCAGAGTAAATACAGAGCGGTGACTCTCGCGATGAATGCTCTATCAACATAAACAAAGATGGCCGCCAACGGATTTCGATTCTGACGCGAGTAAATTTTGCTTTAAACTTTTGTTTTTACGTGCAGTTCACTCTTGACGCACGAATTAACACAAAGGGGTCAAGCGCCAAACTAGACGCGTTTTTCGCGTCCGGTGTGAACGCACAGTAACACAAACAATTTAGACAGATTTGTGAACAATATTTGAGAGAAATAGGCCTTTTGTGTACATCGAAAAAGTCTTAGATCGAGTTCGGCTTGTAAAAATGGGGGCAAAAACAAAAGTGTTGCGTTTATAATTTTGTTTGGTGTATATAGGTAACAGACAATTATTTGAAGTTATTTGATTAATTATTTTAATTACTTTATTTAAATTATTTATTTTTCTATGTATTTTTAGAGACTATGTGTGTTTTATACCTTGTGGTAATGTTGTGTGTTGTGCCTTGTGTTTTTCTGCTGGCTGTACAAATAATTGCCCTTCGGGGACAATAAAGTAACCTTGACCTTGATTAAGTAGGTGTTCAAAAAACCTAATTTTGTGTTCCTTGCAAAATTAAAACTGACCAGAGTGATCATAATTGTTTGCTTATACTCACTTGGTTGGAGAAACAACTTCGAAACAAAACCTGCGCTCGATGTCCTCGCAGTGTTTGACGGTGCACAGGCGCAAGTCCTCCACCACAACTGTAGGGTTATCCTGAAACACAATCCCCAAACGACTGATGAAAACAGAGTTTCAAAAGGCTTGCTCGTTCTTTTATGTCATCCTAGGATTACCTTAAATTTCTTTTGGTACACTAGCTGATTGTTCTGAATGGAGAACCATCGCCTGCAAAGAAAATGCAATTAGCAACGATGACAATTTTGGCGATGTGTGTGTGCATGAATGTCTCGTCACTGACCTGTTCCATGTTTTGAAGGCGTTACTGGCCCTCTTGAACAGATAACCCTCCATGACAATCCCATTCTCAGCATCCACATTGTACTCAAGCTTAGTGTCATCATTTGAGAAGTCCTGACCAGAAAAGGCAAACAAAAACAAACAGTCAATATAATATTGAATATAAATATACTGTACATTTCACACGCATTTTGGCTGAACACACATGATACACACCCAATATTTTGCTAATGGACGATACATAGACGATAAAAGCGGGGTTTCGAACCTACAACCTTCTGGATACCAGTCCAGATCTTTAAAGGATATGTTCACCAAAAGTCAAAAATTCTGTCATCAATGTTGTTCCAAACTCATATGACTTTCATTCATCCATGGAAAACCAAAGGTTAATTTTTTGTTGTTTCTGAAAGAGTTTCGAGGTTGTACGAACAAAATAAACATCAAACGTCACAGTATTGCCAAACATCATTGGTTCTGGAGTGTCATGTGACCAAACGTCAAATCTAAACGAGCACTACAGCAGAAGGGGAGGTTGTTAGAATACGATTGACTAATTTCATGATTCGCTTTTATCTATTCATATTATTATTGGAAATGAGCAGCATATGCATTCTTCAAAAGTTCTACTTTTGCGATTTTAAATGTGACCGCTTTAGACTATACAAACAAAAAAGCCAATTACTGCTAACAATAATTACATGTCCAGTGAATTAATTTATAGTCTCTCGATGAATGCGAGATCAACATAAAAAAATGGCCGCCAACGGATTTCGATTCTGACGCGAGTAAATTTTGCTTTAAACTTTTGTTTTTACATGCAGTTCACTCTTGACGCACAAATTAACACAAAGTGGTCAAGCGTCAAACTAAACGCGAATTTGACGCGTTATTCGCGTCCGGTGTGAACGCACAGTAACACAAACAATTTAGACAGATTTGTGAACAATATTTGAGAGAAATAGGCCTTTTGTGTACATCGAAAAAGTCTTAGATCTTTGAGTTCGTCTAGTTTGACGCTTGACCACTTTGTGTTAATTCGTGCGTCAAGAGTGAACTGCACATAAAAACAAAAGTTTAAAGCAAAATTTACTCGCGTCAGAATCGAAATCCGTTGGAGGCCATTTTTTTTTATGTTGATCGCGCATTCATCGAGAGACTATAAATTAATTCACTGGACATGTAATTATTGTTAGCAGTAATTGGCTTTTTTGGGGGCATAGTCTAAATTTATAGTGCACTCATGATAAGAAATCTAGCCACTGGTTCTTGTTCACGTTCAGGATAATCTAGGATCCCTGCTTCCTGTCCTGTAGATGTCATGAGAGCTGGGCTGAGCTCAGACTAGTTAAGTCCAGCCCAGGTGAGTTCAGACTAGCAAAGCCCCAGTAATCCTAGAGCCGTCACCGGATCCTGTGTTTGGTGATGGAGTGAAACTCAAACAGCTGAGGACAGATAAGTGTGACATACAAGTAGACGAGGTACGTTTACAGCCTGCTGCGTGAATCCAGTTTGATCTGATGCTATCACATCACATCTCCAGTGAACAGAACACACGAGTCGTAAGATACACGAAATCAGCCGTTTAGCGGACACTTTACTTAGAGCGAGCTTCAGACGCGTACCGGTTAGTTTCAGAGTGGTTAGCAAAAAGTTTGATCTTTTAAGTGTGCCTGCTAACAACATGCTTGAGAATGTAAAAATTTATTGTAGTTTAATATTAATTAATCTAGGTCAACATTCTTGGTTGTTTTCAGTTCTATACATTACAGTTTTATTATTTGTTTTTATGAACAAATCTGAATGAACAAAATCTTATTTATAATAAATTCTGTAACAAAAATGATGCCTAATGCATTCATTAAACTGAGAAATCAAATTTTCCTTGAGCTTTTGTCATCTAAGAGGTCATCATATTATAAGAATATCCTGTAAATTTCAGAACTGAAAACGTCCTTGTTAGTCCAATAAAAGCTTTTATTTACACCAGCCCCAGCAAACGACTCGTTTTTCAAAGTGTTAAACTATGACGTCAAAGAGGATAAAACACCACCCCCGCAGAAGAAGATCAACGCCTACTTCAACACGGCCGGTTTAGCCCCGCCCACCGATTCACGCATCACACGCCTTGATTTGCAGACCGATTAAGAGTAAAGAACAGTGCTGTGCCGTCTATATTGGATCTTACAGGAATGGTGCAACACACGGACTTTGGGTCGAACATGTATTGGGCGATTCATTCTGGTTGCCATTTTACAACATTGGACGTTTTCAAAACAATTTCCCCAAAGTCCACCGACGGGTGAGTCGAAACTCATTATAATATGCAAAACTGTTCTCCACTCACAGCAGTAGGCGTTTACTTCCAAGTCTTCAATGCGAGACGCCCATAAACACCCAGCGTTTTTCAGCTAGGCTCAAAACTAGGGTAGAAAATAGCCGATTACTTATTCATTTTGATGTTTTTGAATGCAAAAACCAAGCGAATGTCATAAGTTGACCTCAGACAACAATAAAATAAAATTTAAAAAGCCAGTTCATGACCCCTTTAAGAGTTACGACAATCTAGCTTGACTACATCAGACTTCCTACTTTCGCTAATTTCATTTCATTTCATCCTGAGATAGCAGCCTATCTTTCAGTTTTCCGAGTGGTTTTGGGAAAAGTTTAATTTGTCAATTGTTACCATTAGTTACGTCTAGGAACAAAGAGCTGTGTTGAAAAGATCTAATCCTAAGTTTGAGAGTTGGCTACAAATATTTTCTTGTTTCACTCTGGCAAAAATACGTTTAGAGGTCGTGATTGTACCGTGGATGCGTAGATTAACTTCACACAATCTGCAAAAGTCGTTTACAGACTTGTTCACTCAAGTGTTTACAGCAGGTTTACAGTGGAAGTTCGATCATAGATTTTAGTTCGATGCATGATGTCTGTGGTTCGATGCGACTGTGTTGGGGCATAACATACGTCATAAATAAACTTATCTGATTGGCTCATGGGTAACCAATGACTTTAAACTTGAGACAAGCGCCCCCTAGCGAGAGAGAAAACACTTCTCTATTATTCCATTCCAGACTCTGATACTTCGCTTTGCTTCGTAGACAGAGTCTGGTATTACTAGGCTAGCAGAAGTAACATCAGAAGTGGCTAAAATGAGATCTGAATCCACTTTCAAGGCCAGTGACAGTGTGAACGCGTCACTAACAGAACTGGGTTCTTCGCCACTTTATGATCCGCCTACAGCAATCCTGCTCAAGGTTAACTCCAGACCATGACATCCAGTGTGACCCTTCTCTTGTGTGTTCACCGTAGTCCAAGAAAAATGGACACGACAGCACCAACTGTCATTAAAAAGCAGATTGGGTTTCCATTTCTTTGTAACCTGATCAATCCACGAGCTGATACGTAAGCCGGCCCGCTTAATATATACGGGGTGGCAGGAACAAAGAATGAGGCTCCAGCTGTTCCCCGAACCCCAGTACCTGCACTCCTCCTTAAGCTCGCAAATTGCAAAGTCAAAAAATTCGTAAGTAGTCCCGCAGTTTTGTTTACTATTTATTTTGTTGAAAATTAGGAGAGTAAGTCAACATTAAGTGACACTGGAACATAAATTTGCATTTTAAAAAATGAGGACCTTGCCTTTTTTTTTTTTTCAAAGCCACTATATTTTCCTTGATGGTTAAACTACTTGACTTTTCATTAAATGTAAATTATTCTTCAAAAAAATGTTAAACTTTTCATCATAATGGACATCCGTATTTGTCACTGACTGACTGACCACTAAAAAAACTGATCACTAGATACATAAAACAGCCATTTACTAAATAAAATGAACCATGTATCTTCAATGCAAAGCTGTAGTTGCATATATGACATAGTTGATGAACTAATACATCAGAACCAGCAAACCAAACAACAGATTGCACAAGATGACCAGACGTCTAAATAAAAAACTGTCATCAGTTAGGCAAGAGCCAATACGAGACACTCACATTTATCAGCTCTCGAAGTAAACAACGACAAACAAACAAACAAATAGTAAGATTAACTCACCAGATACCACACATAGTGGAACCTGCTGAAGATCTTCATGCCAAAGAGAGAAGTGTGTTTGTGTGTGTGTCATCTAACTTCCAAACATTACTGTGACACTGAAATGAGCCTCTACACACTCAACATTATGCTTGAACATCCATGTACATGAAGACTGAGACGGGCATAAGCCTTGGTAACCATTGCTGGCTCCTCCCCCTCAGGAACGCTCTACTATGTGTGTGTGTGATGAATTCATTAACTGTGGCTCATGGGTTGGATTCACCAATCCAAGTAGAGCATTAAACATTTACACTGTCGGCAGTGCACTATGGTACGGCTTTGTTTTGAGTATTTTCTTCCAGAGTGCAAGTACAACAGTGTGATTAACTCTTTATTCTGCAGTTATCACCACCATAAACAAACTACGATGTGTTTTTGACAACTTATCAATGATTATTAAACAGGGCTGTCAATTACTAAAAAGATCCTTAAAGTGTTAAAATAATTGAACGCAAATAAATGACTGAAGCACGTGGAATAGCGTCATTAATGTAGTTTGCTGATCTCAGGGGGTTAAAGGATTGGTTCACTTTTGAAAAAAATTTTGCTGATAATTTACTCACCTCCATGTCATCCAAGATGTCCATGTCTTTCTTTCTTCAATCGAAAAGAAATTAAGGTTTTTGAAGAAAACATTCCAGGATTTTCTCCATATAATGGACTTCAATGGGAACCAAACGGTTCAAGGTCCAAAAGACAGTTTCAGTGCAAACTGCAAACTGGTCAAAGGGCTTTAAACGATTCCAGACGATGAATAAGGGTCTTATCAAGCGAAACGATCGCTCATTTAATAAATAAATAACAAAGTTTAAGTTTTATAAGCTCAAATGCTCGCCTTGCTCTGCTCTGTGATGCGCGTTTGTGACTTTCCTGTTCGAATTCGTTCATCAAAATGAACGAATCTTTTTTCCGAGTCATTTGGTTCATTCAACGAACGAAACTAACAAATTGACTATTTCTTTCAAATTGACTCAAAGATTTGTTATTTATTTTCTAAATGAGTGATCGTTTCGCTTGATAAGACCCTCGTCTGGTGTCGTTTAAAGCCCTTTGAACAGTTTGCACTGAAACTGTCTTTTGGACCGTGAACCGTTTGGTTCCCATTGAAGTCCATTATATGGAGAAAATCCTGGAATATTTTCATCCAAAAACTTAATTTCTTTTCGAATGAATGACATGGACATCTTGGATGACATGGGGGTGAGTAAATTATCAGCAAAAGTAGTTCACTTTTTTTTAAAAGTGAACTACTCCTTTAAGGCCCTTGGACAATGAGTCCGAAATTCGCATCCAAAATTTTTGCACGTTAAAAAATAAATACGACCTCACGTTATGTCAAGCACGCTTGGACGAAACTTTCATAAAAGAAAAAAGAATCGGGTTCGATTTTCTGCTTTTTTCGCATCCGGAGCTAAGGAGTCTAATGGTGTTTTGACAATTCAGAGCCACTGAATCACGAATACGAAAAAATGCATATGAAAATTTCAGACTCAGTGTGCAATGGCCTTTAGGGTTTATCATACTGAGCATCTACAAGCACCTGTAACCCTGGGAAGCGGATTGAACCCGATTTCGTAACACTTGAACCCGATTTCGCTTCTCTGTGATCAGATCATTTTAAGCCGGTCCAAAATTTTCGCTCCAATTATCCAGTAATTAAGCGAACCCATTCAAACAATCAGTCCAGGAAAGTTTTCTTCTGTAATGTTGTAATCTGATCTTGCTGGATATAGCAGATAAATGACAAAATAAAAACAAGATAAACGATGTATGCTTAATTTCAAGAGAAGTACACGATTAATCGCGACTAATCGCACAAATGGGTGCGATTAATCGTGACTAAAATGTGAATTTATGGACAGCCCTAGCATTAAATTAAAGAAAATTGATAAAATATCAATACTTGTATTTGAGAACATGAGCTACTGAAGTAAAAGCACATGTCTAATAACCATAACTGACGCTATTCATGCAGCATTCAGAAGGAGAAGACAGAGGGGACACACTCACCTGTAGTGTGGCCTCATATGAGCAGTCAGAAAAGAAGAGAGAGCACGTTAACAACTGCTGATACAGCGGATATGAGACAGAGAGAGAGAGAGAGAGAGAGAGAGGCACACTTGATATGAGATCAAGGACATGCTGGATTGTGGCATGAGCAATATGGCATGACAGATGAACATAAGAGTATTCAGTTCATGAAGTGCCATCAGGGATTTTCCAATTCTGATACACTTTAATTTAGTCGCATTAACAACATTTTGGTAAAACGTTCACAAGAAAAGTAGGTCCACAGTTAATACTGTCGAGAAGCATGAAACTCCAAACCAAGTTGCTTTAACCAAGGGACTTTAAATTGCTCTGGTAATGAAACTGGTAGAGGAATAATGAAATTTCATTGGAATTGGTATTGAGATTTTCATAACCTGATGACCCAACAACTACCCAGAACGCACATTCAGTTCAAATTTCCCATCATGCTCGTGGTAATACCGAAAGATGAACAGCTCTACTGTAATAACAGCAGCTTTATTACTTTGAATGTTTATTCATATACCCGAGGACAGGATATCAGGCAATAGCTTTGCTTTGTGTACTTCAAACCATTTCTAAAGGTCAAAACCCAAAGAGAGAAGAGAAGAGAAAAGGATGTTCTGTTTCAAAAGGCATCAACAACATGATTGTGTTGCTAGTTCTCATTGGATGAACAACTATTTTCTGATTGGCCCTGTATTGCGTGAGATTTGAGGTGTCTAGAGAAGCTCTTGTACCTTCTGTTGAATAGTCGAGTGTTTCGTCTCCATATCCTTCCTCTCTTTGGCCGAATCCATAACCAGCTGATCCAGCTGAAAGACAGACATTCAAAAATTAAAATCGATATTCTTATGTGTTAAAACAGAAAGAGAAAGGAGGAGTCAGAATAATTTGTGTCGACATATGAAGCAGGTGCATTTTCCACTTTAGAGATTCTGCTCGATTAAAGACAGTCTATAAGGCAAAGAATGTTTTCATGTGTTAAACAAAATAGTTTCAATGCGCCAAGTGAGACACCGCCTTCACACAACGCTACTGAACTTTATAAAACGCATGGATGTCCATGAGAAACCACTTTAAACATGAGTCATGTGGTTTAAAGATGGTCTGGTTTCCTACATCTGCATGGAAAACCACTCTTGCCCCATTATTTTTCCCATATTCTGATGATGATGATGACCGGCACTACACACAGCTTAACAAATTCAAGAGTGTAACTGTAAAACGTAGACATTCATAACCTTTCCAGTGGCCAAATCTACACTCGTTGCCTCTAAAGGGAATATCCCACTACACTGTTCTTCTAAGCGGTCTTTAATATATTGTTGGATGCTACTTTTATCATGTATAACTACCTCCACAACTGATTTCACAGTTTATTTCCATACTATACAGGTTACCATTCACTTGCTATTCAACTGCCTCATCAGATACGCAGAAGACTTGTGTAGAAAGTATCAAGAAATAAAAATAAATGTGAAATTTATGGAAAATAAAACAATTTAGTGACTTGCTCATTAGATCAACCTTGGCAGCCAATATTTAAATGTAATAGCGAGTAATTTTATTAATATTTCCCCTGGTTGAGAATTAAAAGTCCTTTTTGGAGATACACAAACACACACACACACACACACACACACACACACACATATACATTTATATATATATATATATATATATATATATATATATATATATATATATATATATATATATATAGGGCTGTCATAAATGACTTACAAACAGATATCTCAGAGGAGAGGAGGACTGGAGAGAGATATGCTCTAGAGCACAACTCCTAACAATAAATACCCATCTAAAACTGATTCAATATAATTGGATTATGAAGACTTATGTTACTCCCGAAAGACTGAATAAGATGAATCCAAATATTCCTGATATTTGTGTTAAATGTAATATCGAAAAGGGCACCTTGTTTCATTGTCTGTGGGACTGCCCTGAGATACGAAAGTTTTGGAATGAGGTTACAAAATGTATTTCTAAGATGACCTTAAACCTAGTGCCTGACGATCCTGCACTTTGTATTCTTAATTTGTATCCAAAGGACTGTATGTTAAACCACAAAGAGAGGAAAATCACAGACCTATGTTTAGTACAAGCTAGACGCTTGATCTCTCTCTGTTGGAAAGATGTCAAGAGCCCTTCTATTGGTCGATGGCTGAAAGAATTATCAGCATGCCTTATCCTTGAAAAGTTAACATACACAATGAAAAAGAAATCAGCCGAATTTAAAGAGATCTGGAATCCCTTTCTTGCATTTTTGGAGAATCGTGAGGCCGAGGAAACTCTGGAAACTTGAAGGTCATATATACCTAATTGTCTGTATTTCCTAAGCTATGTATGATTATATAATGTCGTTATCCAGTGCGTTGTTTGTTTTGTTTTTTTTTTTTTTTTTTTGGGGGGGGGGGGGGGGGGAGTGGATTCTTTTCTTTTATAGTTTGATTGTTAAACGCTTTGTTAAATTTATTTGTGAAATGTAAAATGTATATCCTTGTTAATTGTAAAAATTCAATAAATACATGTTTATAAAATATATTAGGGCTGTCAGTTAAACGCGTTATTAACGCCGTTGACGCAAACCCATTTTAACGGCGTCAATGTTTTTTCTCGCACGATAAATTCCTTTTAATTTTCAACCAGGGGAAATATTAATAAAATTACAGTCTTTATGTCCTAGCAAACTTTTCGTTTTGTTCACATGATTTTGCAACAGGACGCGGCATGCGCGGCGGTGCGCTCTCAAACCCATTCATTTCATTGGCTTGTGCTGCGCGAGGACGTTTTGTTGCTTCGTCGATCAAAGCGTAAACGGATCTAGCTAGACCGGAAACAACAACAGGCACGCACTTGTTTGGGCATGCGAGCCGGCCAAATAGTAGGCTAACGCTATGTTAACGTAACACAGCTGATGCGAATTCTCCGCCCCCTTGTCAATATCAGGAACTCGTCAGTATTTCTTTCACCCTTTTATTGATGGACAGTGTTACATTGTGTGAGAGATTATTTGCCCCAAGTGAGAATGTTAGTGTGAAATTGAACACAGTATATGTCAATGTTGCTTTCAATAAAAAAACATTTACACAAAGCAAGACGATCCACTTTTCCATGTTGATTAGAGCATTAAAATGAGAAAAAATATAATGGAACAAAAAGAAATCAAAAGACATTTAGAATAGATAAAAATGTGCGATTAATCGCAAGTTAACTAACCCTAACCCTGACATTAATGCGATTAATTGCGATTAAGTATTTTAATCATTTGACAGCACATATATATATATATGGTTCTCAACCAGAGGGCCTCACGATTTAAAATAACAAGAAATTCATATTTTTCTTATTTTAATTATTTCCCTCAACGACTGATTGTTTCTTTTGAATAACCAGAATTATTGGATAACTTGGATATACAATATGAGGATGTCTAATTTTAAAAGTGTGGTTTCTAAACATGTAAACTCCATCGACAGATTTATACATTTTTATAACTATGTTAAACATTATTGCCGTTAAAAATCGTTATCTAGTAGATCAGGGATGGACGGAAAAAGACGTAAATTCAGTGATTAAAAAGAGTAGGAAGCATGAAGAATTATAATTATCTTGCTTGTTTTAATCAATTTTACAATTATTCTCTGTGATCTGAGGGTGAAGGATCCTGGTTATAAACAGGAACCTTTCAAATTACTTGCTTTCAATTTTGTACATGCTAAAACTTGTCAACATTTAGGAACTAGCAAAGTGTAAGTGTTCAAATCGCTAACCCCAAGCGCAGACAACAGTACTAGTGAAACCTGCTCTAGAAAACACCACTTATGTGTCTTTTCTATAGGGGAAGTTGATGACAGGAAGTAACCTGTAATGGGATCTTAGCACTCTTTATCTGCTCAGACACGGCGAGCGATCATCCATCACCCTGTATCATGCATGGATCCACGTCACGTGTGGTGTTTCGGGCGAGCGCTTTGTTTTGATCCGCCAGGAAAGAGGCGGGCAGATGCAGCGCTGATAATATCAGATTGGAAATGTTTTTCTCTGTCGCAGTCATAAAGTTTCCACTCTCGATTGGTGTTTGCCAAAGACTGACCACCTGACCAATCCTGTGAGCATGAATCAACCATGAGCTGCATTAAAGTAATGTAACTGAAAGCTATACTACGATGATGCTATTGTTTCATTATGAAAATTCATATTGTTAATATACATAATAACTCCAGATCCCTCAATAGAAATGATCCATCTTCATATTTCAGTACAGCATCAACAAATTATAAAAATACTTAAATAATACTTAAAATAATTCATTAGTATTATAATCATGTAGTTTTTATGTTGGGTCACTATATAATTCCACTACTTCCATTTTTGTTATTTCACAGAATGTGAAAAATAAGTAAAAAAGCGCAGATGTGTCTAAACTGAGAATATCCAGACACACACACACACACACACACACACACACACACACACCTGAGAGCAGCTCCTCCAGACCTCTCGACAGAAGCGTTCCACGCTCTCCAGCTTCATGATGTCCGACACTAAACCTGATAGCCTTCTGCTGTGTAACTCACGTCCACTCTGATATAAACTCTGATCCTCATATAGACTCAATTTAAGTCCCAGACAGAAAAAGGGAAAATCCTGTAATCACCCAGTTTAAGTTCCTGTTTCCAGTGTAACAACAGCCAATCACACATCTCAAGAAGCACATCTCATCCCTGCCCACCGCAAACAAGGATTCACACACTCCTCATCAGACCGGGGTGAAAGTGAAAACACTGCTTTGATAGATAGATAGATAGATAGATAGATAGATAGATAGATAGATAGATAGATAGATAGATAGATAGATAGATAGATAGATAGATAGATAGATAATGTATGTATGGATAGTATTTATGGATAGTATGTATTGTATGTAAATAATAGTATGTATAGTATGCATGTATAGTATATAAATAGTATGTATGGCTAGTATGTATCATATGTATGTATATTATGTATTGATAGTATGTAAATAATAGTATGTATGGATAGTATGAAGAGTATGTATAGTATTTATGGATAGTATGTATAGTATGTAAATAATAGTATATATAGTATGCATGTATAGTATATATATATAGTATGCATGGCTAGTATGTATAGTATGCATGGATAGTATTTATAGAATTTATGGATAGTATGTATGGATAGTAGGTATAGTATTTATAGATAGTATAGACAGTATATAAATAATAGCATGTATAGTATGCATGTAGTGTGTATATATAGTATGTATGGCTGGTGTGTATAGTATTTATGGATAATATGTATAGTATTTATGGATAGTATGTGATTAATAGTATTTATAGTATGCATGTATAGTATATACAGCAGGGGTGCCCAATCCTGCTCCTGGCGATCGACTGTCCTGCACAGTTCATCTCCAACCATAATCAAACACACCTGAATGTGATCCTAAAGACCTTAATTGGCTACTTCAGGTGTGTTTGATTAGGGTTGGAGATGAACTGTGCAGGACAGTCGATCGCCAGGAGCAGGATTGGGCACCCCTGATATACAGTATGTATGACTAGTATGTATAGTATGCATGGCTAGTATATAAATAATAGTATGCATGTATAATTTGGCTAGAATGTATAGTATGAATGGATAGTATGTATAGTATTTATGTATAGTATGTAAATAATAGTTTGTATAGTATGCATGTATAGTATATATAGTATGTATAGCTGGTATTTATAGAATTTATGGATAGTATAGTATGTATGGATAGTAGGTATAGTATTTATAGATAGTATAGACAGTATATAAATAATAGTATGTATAGTAGGCTGGTGTGTATAGTATTTATGGATAATATGTATAGTATTTATGGATAGTATGTGATTAATAGTATTTATAGTATGCATGTATAGTAGCATGTATGGCTAGTATGTATAGTATGTATGGCTAGTATGTATGCATAGTATGTAAATAATAGTATGTATGTATAATTTGGCTAGAATGTATAGTATGAATGGATAGTATGTATAGTATGCATGTATAGTATGTAAATAATAGTTTGTATAGTATGCATGTATAGTATATATAATATGTATGGCTGGTATGTATAGTATGTATGGCTAGTATGTATAGTATGTATCGATAGTATGTAAATAATAGTATGTATGTATAATTTGGCTAGAATGTATAGCATGAATGGATAGTATGTATAGTATTTATGTATAGTATGCAAATAATAGTTTGTATAGTATGCATGTATAGTATATATAGTATGTATGGCTGCTGGTATGCATAGTATTTATGGATAGTATGTATAGGTATGCATGTATGGATAGTATTTATGGTAGGGCTGCAATACGATTAATCATGACTAATCGTTTGCAGAATAAAAGTTTTTGTTTACATATGTGTGTGTGTGTGTGTGTGTACTGTGTAAAATAATTATGTATATATAAATACACAAACATGCATGTATAATTTTAAGAAAAAAAAATATATTGAGTATTTATAATAATATATAATATAAATTACATTTAAATATAGAAATGTATATAAACATGTAAATATATACATGCATGTGTGAGTATTTATAAATACATAATTATTTTACACAGTACACACACACATATATGCTGTAAACAAAAACTTTTATTCTGCAAACGATTCGTCGAGATTAAACGTTATGCAGCCCTAATATATAGTATGTAAAATAATAGTATGCATATAGCATGTATGGATATATATATGTTTAGTATGGATAATTTGTATGTATAGGTATGCATGTATGGATAGTATGTATAGTATTTAAGGACAGTTTGTACAGGTAAGTTTAGTATGGATAATATGTATAGGTATGCAAGTATGGATAGTATGTATAGGTATGTTTAGGTTCATATGTATCTATAGGTATGTATGCATGTATGGATAGTATATGTATAGGCATGCATGTTTAGTATGTATAATATGTATGGATATTGCAGACAGAGGCCAGGTAGATGACAGATGCGTGATGTACCTGTCCAGTCAGGTGCTTCATGAGGGGTTGTAGTTCACTGAACAGATCATAGCCCTGATGGAAGAAGGTCAGGTGGGCGTACATGAACGACAGCATCTGTGCGACACACAAGAGTTTCAGCAACAGCTCACACACACACACGATCATCTGCAGACACTTCGTGAGTGCGAATACTGTACCGATTTGAGGATTTCCGATCGCCTCTTCGACTGGAGCACATTAATCTGAAATAAAGAAATAAATAAAGGTTATACTTTACTCTACGGTGCCAGTTACATTGTACAAACTCAAATAAGTACGGAGTAATATTAATTAATTACCTACATGTACTTACTATCGAGTTATGGTTAGGGTTTGGTTTAGGGTTAGTTACTTGTAATACGCATAATTTACTGTTATTAAGTATGAACGTGTAACTACGTCACCTTAAAATAAAGTGTTACCTAAAAATTCCCTACTTAAAAAAATAGGTAGTTTTTATTAGCATCATTAAGTTTTCAAAACAAAAGTAAAACAATAAAGACATGAGGCCAACAAAAGACCTGGGGATTTCCCACAGAAGGAAGTGCTAACATTGTCAACAAAATTACTGACAAAAATTTGGATTTTGTCTTTTATAATTGTTTTATATATATATATATATATATATAAACATTTGGTAGTGTTTGGTGACGTGTCACTTTACATGTTTTACGGAGATATTTAGTGACTACAACATATGCAATTTCGGTCACGGCAAAAATAATAAATATTACATGTCAGACAAAAACAAAAGCTGTAAAAGTGCACACCGGCAACAACTACAGCTTCAATAATGACACATCACTATTAAATGTATACGGCATCTGCTTCCTGGAGTCCTTTATTCTTTCTCAACAGAAACACACACAGAGTTCTCTCTCTGTGCCACCAGGTGGCGCTCTTCTCAAGAACAAGTCGCGACCGCAGGAGGGATCGACTGCCGTTTCCAGGCGGAGGCACATCGCTCTCAGAGAAAGGTAACGGACTGACCCTGTGAAGGGGAATCATCTAAACTGAGCACGTGTGGTCACTGCAGGACACAGGAAGTGACATCAGAGAACAGATGCATTGTGTGACATCAACCGATCAAGTTTCCTTCTCTTTCAAACACTGCTTCATGCAGATCAAGCAAACCCATAAACACTGTTATCTCCAGTAAATCTGTATAATTATTAATGTCATATTTATGTGTTTATTTTGTAACTATGACGTAATGGCACAAGAATTTGTACAAAGGTGGAGGAATTATGAGGGGCCGAACCGATTCAAGACTACAAAAAAAACAAAACAAAAAAAGCACAGGAGAATATAACAAATAATGAATAATGAATGAACAACTAGACTAGCAGGAGTAGAAAACATGGTATATAATTATGTATAAAGTCTTATTGTCCACCAGACTAAACTCTGTTCGCTTTGAAAAGCAACTCGTACAAAACAGGTTTCACTTTATTTTGCTGGTCCCTTTTGATCATTCTGTCGACTATAAGTAGCTTTGCAACTACAAACGTATTCTAACCCTAACCGTAGCAGTCTACTAATGGTCTACTCACACTCTAATGAGAGTTCGTAAACATGTAGGTGCAACGTTACTTTAATTATAGTCAACAGAAGGTGCTAAAGAGACCATCACAATACAGTGAAACCAAAAACAAAACACAAAAGCAACACACAAAACACATAAAACATAAAACAAAACAAAAACGAAATAAAAAAAATAAAAATAAAACCCACACAAAATAAAACTAAACAAAAAACTAAAAACAAAACCCACACAATAAAACAAAACACAAAAAACAAAACCCACAAAATAAAACAAAAACAAAATTAAAAACTAAAAACAAAAACAAAACACACAAAATAAAACAAAACAAAAACAAAACACTACACACAATAAAAAAAAAAAAAAAAAAAAATAAAAATAAAAAACTAAAAAAAAACACATTCAATAAAACAAAACACAAAAAAAATAAAAACAAAACACACAAAATAAAACAAACAAAACACTACTACACACAATAAAACAAACACAAAAAACTAAAAACAAAACACACAAAATAAAACAAAAACAAAACACTACTACACACAATAAAACAAACACAAAAAACTAAAAACAAAACACAAAATAAAACAAAAACAAAATCAAAAAACTAAAAACAAAAACAAAACACAAAACAAAACACTACACACAATAAAACAAAATAAAACAAAAACAAAACTAAAAAACTAAAAACAAAATCCACACAATAAAACAAAACTAAAAACTAAAAACAAACACAAAAAACTAAAAACAAAACACACAAAACAAAAACAAAATAAAAAACTAAAAAACAAAAACAAAACACAAAATAAAACAAAACAAAAACAAAACACTACACACAACAAAACAAAACAAAAATAAAAACAAAATCCACACAATAAAACAAAACACAAAAATAAAAACAACACACAAAATAAAACAAAAAAACTACAAAATAAAACAAAACGCAAAACAACTAAAAACAAAACAAAAAATAAGACAATAAAAACACAAAAAAACAAAAGGCAAAAAATGTTTACCAAAAAAATCAAAGTAAATAAATGAAACTAAATTGTAAAAAGTGTAGCTAAAAAAATTAAGTCTGACAAAAAAAAAAAACAAAATTAAATAAAACAAAAAACAAATATTAGCTTAGAAATGTCCATATTTTCCCTCCAAGTTTTGCTTTGAAAAGTGGTAAAACACTAAAAGCAATTTTGTTTTCCCTATAAACAAAACGTCTCGGTTACGTATGTAACCCTCGTTCCCTGAGTAGGGAACGGAGACGTTACGTCAGAAGTGACGGAGATTGGGGGATTTCGCATAGAAAGCCAATCCTCTTCGAGTATTTAAACACGAGCCAATGGCATGCAATGCCTTGGGGCTGCGGAAATTTGCATAGCGTACTCCGCCCTATACTCCGTGAGTATAAAAGGAGGAAGTGAACGCAACCGCAGTATGTCTTCGCTGAGGAGCCAAGCCTGAACTCGGCATCTACCCAGCAATACAGCAGAAGTGGCAGGGAGACGTAACGTCTCCGTTCCCTACTCAGGGAACGAGGGTTACATACGAAACCGAGACGTTCCCTTTCGTAGTCACTTCGAGTTACGTCAGAAGTGACGGAGATTGGGGGTCTGTGCCATCACGCCAACTTCAAGCTGTCTTCCAGTGCCCTGCGAAAGTCTGGACCCCCGAGCCTTACCTCTTTTTTTTTTTTGGGGGGGATCCGACTTTGACACAGGATTACCAAGGTACACTGGGAAACATATCCCGGAAGGGACATGCTACCAGCTGCCTACCGAAGGGAGGACTTACGAATACACATATGGCCACATAGGAACACATATGGAACACTGGAGCACCAACCGCAGGTGGCTACTAATTTCAACTCCAGGGGTGGCAGATGGCTTGCCAAGGGAAGACACATGCTCAGAGAGGCTTACAGTGGATAATACACATGAGACGGTTACCATGGGGAACCGTGCGCATGGAGGCACCTAGCCGGCATCCAGAGCAACAGCAGTGGTGCCCGCATCGTCGGTGCTGGAGGACTCAAGACTTCAATGAAAGAACTGAGGAAATATCGCACTTATCCAGTCCGGGGAGTGGAGTGGCGAGCAAGCGAAGACACCTGAGCGGATCCAGAACTGGCCGAAACGAGTATGTGAGAGGATACCGGCTCAATTCGCAGATTGTAGAATCTGGCGAAGGTGTTGGGTGTCGCCCAGCCTGCAGCTCTGCAGATGTCTGTTAGCGAGGCGCCGTGCGCTAAATCCCAAGAGGAGGCCACACTCCGAGTGGAATGGGCCGTCACACCAAGGGGGCACGGAAGGCCTTGCTGCTGGTAAGACAAAGCAATGGCATCCACTATCCAGTGGGACAGCCGTTGCTTTGAGAGAGCCCTTCCCTTCTGGCTCCCTCCATGACAGACAAAGAGCTGGTCTGAGGTCCTGAAACACTGCGTTCTGTCGACATAGGTGCGGAGAGCACGTACCGGACAGAGCAGTGCCAAGGCTGGGTCTGCCTCCTCCGGGGGCAGCGCTTGCAGGTTCACCACCTGGTCCCGGAAGGGAGTGGTGGGAACCTTGGGCACATATCCAGGCCGGGGTCTCAGGATCACGTGAGAGTAAGCCAGCCCGAACTCCAGGCACGCTTCGTCAACGGAGAATGCGTGCAGGTCCCCCACCCTCTTGATGGAGGCCAATGCAACCAGGAGTGCTGTCTTCATGGACAGAAACTTTAACTCTACCGATTGCAAAAGCTCAAAGGGATGCCTCTGCAGAGCACTTAAAACTACCGAGAGGTCCCAAGAGGGTACGAGGGGAGGACGAGGCGGATGCAGCCTCCTCGCTCCCCTCAGGAACCTGATGACCAGGTCGTGCTTCCCTAAGGACTTACCTTCCACTGCTTCATGAGAAGCGGCAATAGCCGCGACGTAAACCTTAAGGGTGGAGGGCGACAGCCTGCGCTCCAACCCCTCTTGCAGGAAGGAAAGCACGACACTGATCGAACATCTCTGGGGGTCTTCTCCGCGAGAAGAGCACCAATTGACGAAGAGGTTCCACTTCAACGCATAAAGGTGTCTCGTGGACGACGCTCTTGCGGAAGTGATGGTTGCCGCCACCGCAGGTGGCAGCGAACTCAAACCTGCCTCGTCCCGTCCAGGAGCCACACGTGCAGCCTCCAAAGATCGGGACGAGGGTGCCACAGAGTGCCCCGTCTCTGAGAGAGTAGGTCCGGTCTCAGAGGAATAGGCCAAGGAGGTGCTGTCGCGAGGAGCATGAGTTCGGAGAACCATGTCTTGGTGGGCCAATAGGGGGCTACCAGCAAGACCTGCTCCTCGTCCTCCTTGATCTTGCACAACACCCGTGCAAGGAGGCTCACTGGGGGAAACGCATACTTGCGTGGGCCCCGTGGCCAGCTGTGCGCCAGCGCATCCGAGCCGAGAGTGCCGCGGGTCAGAGAATAAAACTGGGCGCAGTGGGACGAGTCCCGAGAGGCGAACAGGTCTATCTGTGCCTCCCCGAACTGGTCCCAAATCAGCTGGACCGACTGGGGATGGAGTCGCCATTCGCCGGAGATGGGACGGGCCCGGGACAGCTCGTCGGCTGCCCAGTTCCGGACTCCAGGAATGTAAACTGCACGAAGGGACCTCAGGTGCTTCTGACTCCATATCAAGAGGTGGCGGGCGAGCTGCGACAACTGACGCGAGCGTAGACCCCCCTGGTGGTTGATGTACGCTACTGCCGTAGTGTTGTCTGAGCGGACAAGCACATGCTGGCCCTTGAGCAACGCTCGGAAGCGGTGCAAGGCGAGCCGTACTGCCAACAGCTCGAGGCAATTGATGTGCATGAGGCGCTGGGCTCCTGTCCAGGAACCGGCGGCTGCATGCCCATTGCACATGGCACCCCAACCCGTGGTAGATGCATCCGTGGAGACAACGAGATGCCTGGAAACTCGCTGAATAGGGACGCCGGTCCGTAAAAAGCTGAGGTTCGACCACGGGAAGAAGGTTCGGCGGCACGCTGGAGTCACTGGAACTCGGAGCGAGCCGCGATGCCATGCCCACCTCGGGACTCGATCGCGAAGCCACAGCTGAAGCGGTCTCATATGAAGCAAACCGAGCGGCGTTGCCGCGGCCGCGGATGCCATATGCCCCAGGAGCCTCTGAAAAAGTTTCAGTGGAACCGCACTCTTGCCCTCGAACTGTCGAAGGCAAGCCAGCAGTGAGTGCGCGCGCTCGTTCGTGAGCTGCGCGGACATGGCGACCGAGTCTATCTCCATGCCGAGAAAAGAGATCCTCTGCACGGGGCAAAGTTTGCTCTTTTCCCGGTTGACCCGAAGGCCCAGACGGGCTAGGTGCCGGAGCACCAGGTCTCTGTGTTCGCAAACCTGAGCTCGAGAGTGTGCTAGTATCAGCCAGTCGTCGAGATAATTCAGGATGCGAACCCCGTGTTCGCGAAGGGGAACAAGGGCTGCCTCGACGATCTTCGTGAAGACGCGAGGGGACAGAGCTAACCCGAATGGGAGAACGGCGTACTGGTATGCCTGGCCCTCGAAGGCAAACCGAAGAAACGGTCTGTGTCGAGGGAGAATGGAGACATGGAAGTACGCGTCCTTCAGGTCGATCGCTGCAAACCAATCCTGATACCGAACACATTCGAAAATGCGTTTGGCCGTGAGCATTTTGAATGGTAGTCGATGGAGAGAACGGTTCAAAATGCGCAGGTCCAGGATCGGTCGTAACCCACCGGTCTTTTTGGGGACAATGAAGTAGGGGCTGTAAAACCCGGACCTCACCTCGGCTGGAGGGACCGTCTCGATTGCACCTTTCGCCAGCAGGGTCGCAATCTCCGCTCTCAAGACTGGGGCATTGCCACCGACCATCGTGGAGCGAACTCCCCAGAAGCGGGGAGGAGACCGTGCGAACTGAATCGCGTAGCCGAATCTGATCGTTCTGATGACCCAGCGGGATACCCCGGGAAGCGCTAGCCAGGCTTCCAGGAAGTGAGCCAACGGGGTCATGCGAACCACAGGCGTCCCCCCGGAGGGGCAGCGGTGCGGGTCGACTGGCACGCGTGCAAGAGTTACCCCGCTCGGATGCGTCGAAGCCCGCTCCCCAACAGAAGGGACCAGGGAAAGCGGAGCCTTCCACGGGGGTCTGTTCTGCCGGGGGTCTGGCGATAGAGGGGGAAGGGATTGGCGTAGCCCTGGAGCGACACACGCACCCTTCCGCGCCCTCAGAGACAGAGAGGAGTGTGTGGGCTGACGCACGGGGGCATCGAGCGCACCCACTCCAGTCTGTGAGCTCAGTGAGGATGTCAAGTCTTTCTTTAACCAGTTCAGGGTGCTGCCCACCCGTGGGTGAGCAGCGGGGAGCTGAGAACAAAAGATTCTCCCCCGGCCCTCCACCGGGGGAAGGAGGGGGCCTGCTACCGCCTCCTGTGAAAGACTCGAGATCGTCACTGAGCGGCTCGTGTCAGGATCTTCGCTTGGCCTGGCGTTTAGCGGGGCGAGCGGCCTGAGGGGGCTGTGACGCCGGCCTGCGGCCTCCTCGATGCCGGGGCCCGGGTGAAGGCTGCTGCTGGGCCCGGGCAGGAGGGAGGGGAGCCGCAGGGGGGCGTCCTCGGCGGCGAGCAGAGGGAGGCACCTGCGCCGATGACTGGGTGGAGGCAGCAGCTGGTCGCCGGGGCAGGATGTGTTTAATGGCCTCCGTCTGCTTCTGGGCGGTGGAGAACTGCTGGGCGAAGTCCTCGACCGCACCGCCGAAAAGGCCAACCTGGGAGAGCGGACCGTCGAGCAGACGAGTCCGCTCAGCGCTCCGCGTATCTGCCAGGTTGAGCCAGAGATGGCGCTCCTGAACCACACAAGTGGCCATCACCTGACCGACGGCGCGAGCGGCCACTTTCGTTGCCCGGAGAGCAAGGTCAGTGGCGGACCGCAAATCTTTAAATGCCGTCGTGTCAGTCCCGCCCTCGTGCATGTCTCTGAGCATCTTCGCTTGGAAGACCTGCAAAGTGCTCATCGCATGCAAAGCGGAGGCCGCCTGTCCCGCCGCTCTATAGGATCGCGCCGCCATAGCAGACGAGAACCCACAGGCTTTGGACGGGTGCTTAGGAGGACCACGGGTGGAGGCGCTCTGTGGACACAGCTGCATCGCAACAGAGCGCTCCACCGGGGGCATCCCAGTGTACCCACGGGCGGCCCCACCGTCGAGGGGGGGGAAGGCGGGGGAGAGATCGCGCTCTCGAGTGGACAAAGGAGCCCCCCAAGAGCGCGATAACTCCGCATGCAGCTCGGGGAAAAAAGGTATTGGAGTTGGCCGTGGCCTTGCGGCGGCAGCTTTGTCCAGATACCAATTATCCATCCGCGAGAGATCGGGGCAGGATGGAGGTTTCCATTCTAGCCCGATACTCCCAGCGGCTCGAGACAGCATGGCCGTCAGCTCGGGATCTGACACGGGCAACGCTGGCACTCCCAAAGAGGGCAACGCAGCCGCATCTTCCTCTCCCGAGGACTCAAGCCCGCCTAGTGATGCAGTGATAGACATCACATCATCATCTGGAGCGCTGCTAGAAGCAGCCGGCGCCGCCGAAGAGACAGCCGACTGAATCGAGCTGGCGCTCGCTGGCTCACGCACTGAGGCGGGAGGTGTGGCCCGAGGAATCGTCGGGGCTTTATCCCACACCGTCACCGTTAGATCGCCGGGTCCCCGGGTCGACGGGCCCCCTTTCGTGAAGGAAGCCGATCGAGTAGGGGGGACCGGGGCTCTCACTCTAGTGAGATCATTGAGCCTCGACCTCAGTGTGGAGATGGTCATGCTCCCACAGAAGGAACATGAGTCATCCACGAACGCTGCTGCTGCATGCTGAATGCCCAGGCATACAAAGCAGCGTTCGTGACCATCAGATGATGACAGAAATCTACCACATCCAGAAGGACACGGGCGAACCATCTTTAAAAAGACGTGCCACGTGCAGCTCTTTCACTTTATGAGAAAGGAGAAATTCACTCTTTCAGCGCTGAGGCTACCAGGGAGAAGTGCAAAGTCTGGCAGACCACTGCTCAGATCGCAGGCAATGCAGAATCTCGCTGGGTACCGCCGTCACACCAACACTGAAGAGGACGCTCGTTCTCGAAGAGTCTTGAATCAGCTTTTAGGAGTGAAGAGGTTCTCTTGGCTCCGAAGCGAAAACATACTGCGGTTGCGTTCACTTCCTCCTTTTATACTCACGGAGTAGGGCGGAGTACGTTATGCAAATTTCCGCAGCCCCAAGGCATTGCATGCCATTGGCTCGTGTTTAAATACTCGAAGAGGATTGGCTTTCTATGCGAAATCCCCCAATCTCCGTCACTTCTGACGTAACTCGAAGTGACTACGAAAGGGAACTAAAACATTTTTTATTTAATTAAAAAAATGTTCAGCTTAAAAAAGTCTGACAAAACAAATAAAAAAGCACACCTAATAACAATTAAATAAATAAAATACACATTTTTTGTATTTCATTTTGTTTAAAAAAGTTTTTAAAAAAAGTAACGTAAAAAAGTCAAGTGTTAAAAACAGTAGATAAATGATACTGTATACTGTACTGTAACACACATCATGTATATCAGCACAAAGGCAGGTGATGGATCAACACAGATCTGCATCATGAATGTGTGTGTGTGTGTGTGAGGTCTCTCACCTGCAGCACGTAGTCCAGGACGATGTGGCGGAAGCACTTGCGTGTGGCGTTGAGGATGTTGGTGGCCTCCTCCACCTCGTGCGGTTTGTTCCGGGCCGCCTGGGCATTTTTGGACAGCGCTGCGTCTTTCTCCTCGCTCACTTTGTCAAACTGTTTCTTGGCCTCTTTAAACTTCCGAAGGTCCCTGCGCACAGCAACACCGTTCCTTACATGAGCACTGCGCGGTCGCCAGTATAACGCCTCAGTGCCTGCCACATGTACATTCACTCTAATAACGCTTGTTTGAAAAGTCTCGTCTGCTCACCAAGGCTGCATTTATTGGATTCAAAATACAATTACATGTATTCTCATAGATGTGATCATATTTCACAGTTTGACTGTTAAAGTGTAATGTATATTCCTGTGATCAAAGCTGATGATTTCAGCATCATTACTCCAGTCTTCAGTGTCGCATGACCCTCCACAAATCACTCTAATATGAGGATCTGATGCTGAAGACACATTTATGATTATTATTATCAGTGTTGAAAACAGTTAAATTTTTCATATTTTTGTGGAAACTGATACTTTGTTTTCAGGATTATTTGAGGAGTACAAAGTTCAAAATCAGCATTTATTTGACAATATAACAATATAAAAGTATTTGACCAATGTAATCCTTGTTGAATAAAAGTACTAATTTCATTCAAATTTTTTTTTACATTGTCTCTTGCTTGAAACTTTATAAAACATGGACTACATTAATGTAATATAATATACTGTAAATTAGCGAAAAAAACGATATGTTGGCCATGGCACAAATATAAAATTTTATCCTTAATTTAATTCGCACAAAACCATAGAATCATCTAAATGTAGTATTTTAATTTAGTATATACATGTTATTTATATACACACACACACATATATATATATATATATATATATATATATATATACACATATACATATACATATATATATATATATATATATATATATATATATTAGGGCTGTCAAACGATTAATCGCGATTAATCGAATCCAAAATAAAAGTTTGTGTTTACATAATATATGTGGGTGCACTGTGTATAATTATATATATATATATATATATATATATATGAAGAGTTCAGATGCAAAAGCCTCTAAATGCCATTTGAAATTTTCTTCTTTAATGATGATTTTTATGAAACTTGTATATTTAAGTTCAGTAATTTCACTTAAATGCCAATGATAATTACCTATTAATTGTTATTTAAGTGAAATTATTGAACTTAAATATACAAGTTTCATAAAAATCATCATTAAAGAAGAAAATTTCAAATGGCATTTAGAGGCTTTTGCATCTGAACTCTTCATATATATATATATATATATATATATATATATATATATATATATATATAAAATACACACACATGCTTGTATATTTAAGAATTTTTTTTTATATATATAAAATATTTATATTTATATATAATACAAATGATATGTAAATCTATATACAGTACTTACATAAAAAATATTTCTTAAATATATACAAGCATGTGTGTGTATTTATATATATAAAATAATTATACACAGTGCACCCACATATATTATGTAAACACAAATTTTATTTTGGATGCCATTAATCGCGATTAATCGTTTGACAGCCCTAATATATATATATATATATATATATATTATAAATATTAATTACAATAAGAAAAAAACATATTAGTCAACTGCTAATATAACATTTTTAAAACAAATTTGATTAATAACTTAAGTAATGATTAAGAGATCAGAATCATGTAATTGATACACCAACGGTTTATCTTTGTGATACTCACTCTCGCACAAACGCCAGGAGTTGAGATTTGATGGATCGCTGTGCTTGGTCAAATAAAATCTGCAAAAAGTACAAAATTAAATAATAAATCACCATAAAAAAAAACAATTGAGCCTGACATTATTTTCATTTTTTTTTTCTTTCCAGGTTCTCATTACTGTAATGCAGCAAATACAGCTTACGGTCAAACATTTAAATATATCATACATTTGTAATAATGTAAGAAAATAATGTATGAAATAATGTAAGAAAAAGGATTACAAACAATTTGTCACGTGTTTGTTGTTATTGCATAACACATTCAGTCAATTACAAAGAAAACCAAATATGTTTTATTCGTAGCACGTTAATCTCAAAGCAACTGCTATCATCACATTAATATTTAATAAATCTAAAAAAATTGCTCTAAAAATTGCTCAAAGTCATATGTTAGTGCATAATGTAGGTATAGCAGATGATTTTTATAACCAATTCAAAGTATAGTTTTTGGCATATTTCAACTCTAAAGGCATAAATTGTGTGTGTTTAGACATTTGAAGCCAGTGCCAACTGGAACAAGTGTGTCATAGCTGCATTTGTGCTTCAAAGATCATGTGCTTAGTTCAAACTCATGAGGACTTTAACCACAAGTCAGCTGACCTCAGCACTGACTCAGTCTAAAACACACCAGCACTGTCTGGCCATGAAGATCACAGAGTGATCCTTTTATAGTATAGGAATCAAAAAGGCACAAGAACGTGAACGCGAGCTCAGTTTGTAGCAGCACAACTCTGCCTTCACATGTACAGTAGCAGGATTAAAGTCTTGCCACAAGGGGCGCTATTGCAGGCGTGATCATAAATCCCTTTCAGTTTTAAGTGAAAATAATGAAAGAATCAGCTTGAAGATTAAAGTTAACTTCTAAAAACAGTCCTTGTCATAACCGCAACACTTGTAGACTGCAGAGGGAAACTGCTGTCGCATGTCTAGTGTTACGGTCATCTCTCCTGATGTCTAAATCCTCATCTCAGCACATTCAAGCTTTGCGTTTCGAAAATGAAGAAGTCATAAGCAATAATGCAATAGGGCAGATGGTCTCACCGTGTGGTAGTTGATCATCTCTTGAAGATTCTCTGCAAACGTGGTGAGACTGGACTGTGGAGAAATCACAGAGCTTTACCAGCAAACATACAAGAACACAAACACAAAACACCACGCAGAACCCCTCGAAACTGTGGCCCACTTACACTAAATGTTTACCCCAAAATAAAATTAAGTAAATAATAAAAAAATAATTTAAATTTTTTTTCATATACCATCATATTCACCATATTTCCCAAGAAGATCTCAATTTGACTTTGTATTTCATGTTTTACATTAAAAAAAATAAAAATGACAGTAATTATACTGTACTGTAAGTTGTAACATAATAATGCATCATTAGTCCATATAAAAGATACAACAAATTTGTTATGATGTATGAATACTATATAATTTTAATATACATATGTATATACACACACACACACACACATCCATTTATCGTGTTTTTTTTTTTTAGTTTTTGCGGGGCATAAAGAATGAATGGTAAATAATATCCAGGAAATAAATAAAAAAGATGCATTTCATGAATATCTTGGAGGTTTGTTGACCTTTAATGATGTAATTGTAGAGGAAATACAAATAAACACACACACTGGTATTTACCTACACTACATGCACAAGGAAATACACTGGTATGTTTTTATCGTACAATGGATCGTTTACAATGGACATTTCAAAGAAGCAGGAAAGTAGATCTGCAGAGACCAGGAATGCTGGCTGGTAGCCAATGTTTGTATGCGAACACAAACTGAAAATGCTTTCAAAATGACCCGTCAATAAAGTGCAGTCTTGAAACGGACGGGCAGGGACGGTGTTTCTGACTCTGGAAGCCACTGATTGGCTGTTACACACTCACCTCAATGACATCATCTTTGGCGGACTGCTGTGCCAACTCCCGAATCCCGTTCACAAACTGCTTGTTGGCCGTGTTGTACGCCTTTCCAGCATCTATCATCCCGATGCAGAGTTTCACCAGCTACACACGGAGGACACACAAATATGTACATTGATATTGAAATATATATATAGAGATAAATGAATATAAAATATACAAATATATGATTAAGGGTATTTGGGATTTGTTAGACTTTTGCCTGGCAAACTGTAAAACAAGCCAGACTGAAGTGGTTGGTGCTTTATTTTTGTACTTTTTTGTTATTGGTCAAAAAACAACACTAAACACAATGACAAAACACGACACAAACACCAAAGAACTAAACAAAACAACAAAAACACAATAAAACATTACGACAAAAACACAAACCAAAACAACATAAACACAAAGCAAAAAAACAAAAAAAAAAAAAAACAAAGTGACGACAAAAACAACAAAACATCGAATGATCAAAGAATCCTGAAAAAGGTGTACATAACGGTTTTCAACATTGATAATAATAATACTAAACGTTTCTTGATCATCAAATCATCATATTTCCCCATATTATTTATCAAATAAATGAGACTATTTTAAAAACATTAAAAATATACCAATCCAAACTTTTGGACGGCAGTGTTTGTATAATTTGTACGGATTATAGTTGATAAACCTATAAAACAGAAATTGCGTTTGTCAAAATATGACAATAACACATTAGTGTTGACTGTAAGAAAAGCATCAGCTCCTCCTTCAGAGCTCGTATCCTTCCTCAGAGAGAGAGAGAGAGGAAGTGAGCGGGCTGAGTCACTCGGCCGAGCGACGCTGGGTGGGTCTGATATCCGAGCGCTCGCTCCCGCGGTCCCGGATCCTGCTTTTACAGCGCTCAACAGGGACTGCAGCAGGAGAGAGCCTCTCGCCTACACCCAACAGTTAAAACTCACATGCAAACTAGCACTACACTATGGAGGCTTGTTTCCGCCACGGAAGAATAATAGAAAAAAAAACATAATTGTGCCTTTTTTATTTCACAATTCTGACTTTTTATCTCTTTTTTATTAGAATTGTGTGACAAAGTTGCTATTGTGTTATAAAGTCAGAATTGTGTGAAATTAACTCACAATTGAGTTAAAAAGTCAGAATTGTGTGATACAAAGTCGCAATTGTGTTTATAAAGTCAGAATTGAGATATAAAGTCAGAATTGTGTCATATAAAGTCGCAATTGTGTTTATAAAGTCAGAATTGTGTGATACAAAGTCGCAATTGTGTTTATAAAGTCAGAATTGAGATATAAAGTCAGAATTGTGTCATATAAAGTCGCAATTGTGTTTATAAAGTCAGAATTGTGTGATATTAACTCGCAATTGAGTTAAAAAGTCAGAATTGTGTGATATAAAGTCAGAATTGTGTGATACAAAGTCGCAATTGTGTTTATAAAGTCAGAATTGTGTGATATTAACTCACAATTGTGTTATAAAGTCAGAATTGCGTGATATACGCAAAATGCGTGAGATAAGCTGGTTTAGATCGTACTTATCGGACCGTTCTCATTTTGTCTGTTTAAATGGGAAAAAATCAAAGATAACGTCAGTAGACTATGGAGTACCGCAAGGATCGGTTTTAGGCCCTCTGCTATTCTCAATATATATGCTGCCACTTGGTAATATTATAAGAAAACATGGAATTAATTTCCACTGTTACGCTGACAACACTCAATTATATATTTCATCACGACCAGATGAAAACACTAACTCATCTAAAATGACAGAGTGTCTCAAAGATATAAAATGCTGGATGACGCGTAATTTCCTGCTATTAAATTCAGATAAAACGGAGGTATTATTGGTCCAAAAAACTACTCACAAAACCTCTCACAATACAACTTTAATATAGACGGATGTCCTGTTACTTTATCCACTACAGTAAAAGACCTGGGTGTTATACTAGACCGCAACTTGTCTTTCGAAAATCATATTTCATATGTTACAAGAACAGCCTTTTTCCACCTTAGAAACATTGCTAAGCTACGTAACATGCTATCTGTTTCTGATGCAGAAAAATTAGTTCACGCATTCATGACCTCGAGACTAGATTACTGTAATGCTTTATTAGCCGGTTGTCCTGCATCCTCAATAAACAAGCTACAGTTAGTACAAAATGCAGCTGCTAGAGTTCTTACTAGGTCAAGAAAATATGATCATATAACACCGATTTTATCATCTCTACACTGGTTACCTATTAAGTTCCGCATCAACTACAAAATACTACTACTGACCTATAAAGCCCTAAATGGTTTAGCACCTATGTACTTAACGGACCTTCTTTCGCCCTACAATCCACCGCGTTCCTTAAGATCACTAAATTCAAGGCTTCTGGTCATTCCTAGGATATCGAAGTTCAGTAAAGGAGGGAGGGCGTTCTCGTATTTAGCTCCAAAACTCTGGAATGGCCTTCCCGATACGGTCCGAGCCTCTGACTCGCTGACACAGTTTAAAACTAGATTTAAGACGCTTCTCTTTAGTCAAGCATTCACATAATGCTTACCTTTTAGTCCTCTGTTATGCCATACGGAACCGTTTGCCACTGAAACTGCTTAACGCACCAGTGGGGCTCGACAGCCTTTTAGACAAACGGGTCGGCGCGTATGGTCGGCGCGTATGGTTGGGTTGCGGAGAGTTCAGGTTACTGAGAGTTTGTGAGTTATAACGGAAATCATTATGAACATCAGCTATGCTAATTATTTCCCATCTGCCTTTCTGCTGTTATCTCGGGACGCTTGTCCCGAGAAAAATGGCGTTCGTCAGGTCCAGTTTTGTGTCCAGCCTCTCACGGGGATTTTGGATGCCCCAACGCCTGTGATGAGACGACTCAACGCCTGTGATGAGACGACTCAACGCCTGCGATATGTTATGGCGCCGTTTGATTCATAAACAATATTTATATTTAATATTTATATTTAAACAATATGAATGTAAGCCAGAGGAGAACTGGCCCCCGACTGAGCCTGGGTTCTCCCAAGGTTTTTTCTCCATCCAATCTGATGGAGTTTGGTTCCTTGCCACTGTCGCCTTGCTTTTGGCTTGCTTTGAGCTTGCTCAGTTGGGGTTATTTAGTGTTTAGCAATGTTGTTGATCTGTGTTGTGCTACTTTCATGTTATCACTGTGAAGCTGCTTTGATACAATCTGTATTGTGAAAAGCGCTATATAAATAAATGTGACTTGACTTGACTTGACTTGATATAAAGTCAGAATTGTGTTCGAAAGTAAGAAATTCCATGATATAAAGTTGCAACTGTTATAAAGTCAGAATTGTGTGAAATAAAGTCAGAATTGTGTTCGAAAGTAAGAAATTGCATGATATAAAGTTGCAATTGTGTTTATAAAGTCAGAATTGTGTGAAATTAACTCACAATTGTGTTATTAAGCCAGAATTGTGTCATATAAAGTCGCAATTGAGTTATAAAGTCAGAATTGTGTGATATTAACTTGCAATAGTTATAGTCAGAACTGCATGATATTAACTCACAATTGTGTTTGAAAGTAAGAAATTGCATGATATAAAGTTGCAATTGTGTTTATAAAGTCAGAATTGCGTGATATTAACTTGCAATAGTTATAGTCAGAACTGCATGATATTAAGTCACAATTGAGTTATAAAGTCAGAATTGTGTGATATAAAGTCAGAATTGTGTGATACAAAGTCGCAATTGTGTTTATAAAGTCAGAATTGAGATATAAAGTCGCAATTGTGTTTATAGTCAGAATTGTGTGATATTAACTAGCAATTGAGTTAAAAAGTCAGAATTGTGTGATATAAAGTCAGAATTGTGTGATACAAAGTCAGAATTGTGTGATACAAAGTCGCAATTGTGTTTATAAAGTCAGAATTGTGTGATATTAACTCACAATTGTGTTATAAAGTCAGAATTGCGTGATATAAAGTCAGAATTGTGTTCGAAAGTAAGAAATTGCATGATATAAAGTTGCAATTGTGTTTATAAAGTCAGAATTGTGTGAAATTAACTCACAATTGTGTTATTAAGCCAGAATTGTGTCATATAAAGTCGCAATTGAGTTTGAAAGTAAGAAATTGCATGATATAAAGTTGCAATTGTGTTTATAAAGTCAGAATTGCGTGATATTAACTTGCAATAGTTATAGACAGAACTGCATGATATTAAGTCACAATTGAGTTATAAAGTCAGAATTGCATGATATAAAAGTCGCAATTGTTTTATAAAGTCAGAACTGTGTGATATTAACTCGCAATTGTGTTAGAAAGTCAGAATTGCGTGGTACAAACTCGCGATTGTGAGAAATAAACTTTCAATTCTGACGGTTTCTCAGAATTGTGATTATTTCTCGCAACTCTGACTTTATAACATGCAATTGGGTGAATTATGTGATATAAAGTCGCAATTGAGTTATAAAGTCAGAACTGCGTGATATTAACTCGCAACTGTGTTATAAAGTCAGAACTGTGTGATATTAACTCACAACTGTGTTATAAAGTCAGAATTGCGTGATATTAACTCGCAATTGTGTTAGAAAGTCAGAATTGCGTGATACAAACTCGCAATTGTGATAAATAAACTTTCAATTCTGACGGTTTTCCTCAGAATTGTGATTATTTCTCGCAACTCTGACTTTATAACATGCAATTGGGAGATATAGTCACTATTGCATGATATAAAGTCGCAAATACGTGTTATAAAGTAAGAATTGTGTGATATAAACTTGCAATTCTGCGGAAAAAAAGTAGTAATTATCTTTTTAAATGTTTTATTCAGTGTGCACAGCACACTAGACTGACGTTCGGCCATTAGAACAGATGTTTCCACATCGTGCTGGTTCATCAGTTTCCTTCATGCCAGTTTGGGTGCGGATGACATTCAAGCAAAAGATGGTCCTTGAGAGGTTCCCAACTCAATTGTGTAAGAAACACAGGTCATGTTCACTGGCATCAGCTGAGCACTAATCTGAGGAATACCTTGTCTAGTTTGGACTCCAGCTCACAGACATCTCCCTCCACCTCCTCGATCGTCGCCCTGTTGAGGACAGAACAAAGCTTCAGTCAAATCAGAAATGGCACAGGCCAGGCTGAATTGTCTTAAAGGTACAGACCCAGATAGCAAACTGACATTGAATCAACGTGGAAACATGACATCGAAACAACGTTGATCTGACATTGTTTTGCTCATCGAATTAACGTTGAACCAACGTCAGACGCGTCATTCTTTCAAAACTAACGGAAAATCAACTTGAAATCAACGTTGTTTCAACGTTATGAAAGCAAACCAATTTCCGATTTTCATTTAGCTTTGAAGAATGCCGCGTCTGACATTGGTTCAACGTTAATTCGATGAGCAAAATCAACGTTGTTTCAATGTCATGAGAGACGTCGTTTCCACGTTGATTCAATGTCAGTTTGCTGTCTGGGGAAGCACAAACAGCGCATGACTAACATTATAAGTGACCTTCAGGACCAAACTAAAAGCTACAATAGTGTAAAATAGGATCCCTTGGCATATTAGCATGAAAACAGAATGGCCACTAGCCAAAGGAAACAGTCCGGTTTAGTTGATATAAATAAATGAATGCTCTATGTACACATCGGCTCACTTCAATGAATACACAGCTCTAGTTTGATGTAAAACAGCTTCTTCTGGTTCCTGTCTGCAATTGTAACTCTGCCTAGTTTTCTTTCTTTACTACCTCTTCGCTGTTTAAATAGCTGAATACAACTTCATTATTATCATATATCTGATATATTACCTATTAAATTAATCAAGCATGGCTTGCTTTTTTATTTAATCTGCTTTAACTAGCACACAGTGTCATTAGCATTATGCTAGCCAGTTAGCTTGTCATTTGTGTTGAGCTGTTAAGGCCGTTTCCCCCCATATCGAAAATGGTATCGGATATCAATATTTTTCCAAGGTTTCGTATCAAAGTTACACTACAATGAACTGACGAGTAGAATTTGTGTAATATTTGATGAAGTTTAGATCATTTATTGTTGTGTTTATTAGTGTGAAGCTGCTCTGAATAGAGCGCGCTAGGCTATATTGTGTAAAGTTGACTTGACATCATTTCGTCCTGACCACTGCTACAAGAAGACACGCCTGTTTCTGTTCACATTTCCATGTGACTTCATTGCAGGCATGTTTCAGTCAATCTAATTTCCTGAATAAGCACGAGGAGGAAAACACGCCTTGGAGAAACACATCTCTGAAAACACACTCAAATGTATAGGTGAGGTCCTGGATGCTGATCGTCAGTAGGAGGAGGAGACATCAATGTGTTCTTAATATTTATATTTTTAGAGAAATCATTTTCCAAAATACCTCTCATAACTGATTACCAAAGAAAACCTTCAAAATCCCAAAAAGAGGAACAGAAGCACATGTTCATGAATGCGGTTTGATGTACTTCCAAAACTGCTTTCAGATCATGATCACACGTCAAGCCACGTGTGATGTCAATGAAGAGTTAGCAAGAACCCTCGTTTGGTGTGACGTGAACTTTCACACAGATATGAGTAATGACTCAAAGATAGAGTAGGTACTTTTTTTTCATAAACACTTTTTGTTATACTGGTTGAAACTCTCAATAATAAGTGATCTAAATATTAAAACATGTAGGTGAAACTCAGAAACTTATAATATTTCGCTGATAGCATACATGCCACACCACATTGAGGCAGTAATTAAAGCAAAAAGGGCCCCAAACCAAGTGCTGAGTATATGTATGATTATACTTTTCAGAGGGACATTTCTGTATTTAAAATCCTTTTTTATATTGATTTCATGTAATATTCTAATTTTGAATATGGGGTTTTCATCAAAATTCCAACAAATGAAAGCTTTAAATATCTCAGTTTGCATGTAATAAGTCTACTTATATATTAGTTTCACTTTTTAAGTTGAATTATGGAGGCGGCGTGGCTTTGGAGACGCTGTGAAGGGAGGGTGGGATCTCATGCTTTCAAAGCTAGCTCGCTTTGAAGAGACCTCTTTTTAAAAATTCCCTTTTAGCATTTAAAATGATTTAATCTAGTTTTTAGCATTTGATTTTCAATTGATTTAGATACATCAAAGTCATAACAGATTCCTTTAAATATGAATTCTTACATTGAATCACAATTGAATTCATATCTTGCTCAGTCAGAATCATTTTAACCTGGAGTCCCGGTCTCTGTCACAATAATCATATGTGATGTTATTGGCAGACATCCATTTAAAATGTAGGCAATAGCATTTAAAGAAAATTTTTTTCCATATCCACTTAAGTTTCTCAGCTTGCACTCTAATAACATTTGTGCGGTCCAGATGGCTTTGCATAAAAAAAACAGTTATCATTCACAAAGCTATACTTTCACTTTCACACTTTAAGAAAATTTCCAAGCCTGCACTTTGTTATTTTTACTTGAGTAAAGAAGTTAAATTAGTTATTCAACTTTTACCAGAATATTTTGGCAGTCTAATTCTATAGACGAAACTACCGGAAGTAAGCGGGGCGCCATTACTGAGCTGTTGCTGGGTAGCGTTGCACCATTGCCTCCTATTGTTTTAGTTGCAACTTGCGTCCACTGGAATAAACAGCCCGCGATTTACGACTGTCACTAACGTTACAACGTTATCCCTTGTATAATATCGAGTGGGTAAACAGTTTCCGTTATAAATTGTTTCAATGGTGGCAGTAAAATTTCAATTTTGAAGAGAAAACATTGTGAATACCCCGGGTCGACTGCCCCTGTCTGGTGCCATACGGTTTACAGATTTCCTAGGCGAGTACAAGACGTGGACATTCGCGTATAATAACAATTATTTAATGACATAAGTAAAAAATATATAATAAATATGTGATATAGTGATCAGCAAAATCTCCTCTCTTGCTATTTTTTCTATTCAATTAACATGCTATGGTCATTAAATGCCTTTCCTGAGCTAAATGTAATGTTATGTGACATAATTGTTTTCCTGCTGTTATATTGACCTCTTTCCATGGTTTAAAAACACTAATTGGTCGATATTATACTTTCTAGCTGTAATGTTACCTTACCCTTGCCTGTTGTAATGTGAAAATGAGATAAATAATGGACACAAATGAAAAACATGAATTTGTTTATTTGATTTCATTCATTTATTTATTTATTGTTGCCAAATGGACAGATCTTTTTATAGTTTCCTCGTTAGCAAACGTTAGCCTAGCTAGCTTGCCAAGCTATTTTCATAAATAACGTTAATCTGTAAGATCGTTTGTACCTTCATCTGTGACTGGAGGCCACTGCAGTCACAGATCAAACCAACAAGTCATTCTGCCTGGCTGTAGCTGTCATCGAGGGTGAGTTCGCGTTATCACCGAGGTTTGTTTACATACCGGTGCATATGTCTATATGCCTGTGTAACAGCTCAGTAATGGCGTCGCCACAAGATGGCAGCCTACACAGAACGCTCGTCGGATTCGTCTATACGGGAAGTGAGTACTTTTCTCATTTCTGATGATAACTACGTACTAGTTATGGCATGTTAACAATGTTTTGTAACCTAAATGGACACAAATTCATTTTCACCCTGATTTTGGCACATGATCTTTTAGGTTAATTGGTCAACTTGGCTTAAAATACTTGAAAATGTTGGTAATTTAGGCAAATAATACGGTATGTAAGTTGGTTATTTCTAGAAGCAGGCAAACAAAATCTTCCATTAAAATAAAAATATCGTTGGTTTAACTTAAAAAAGTAAGTAACCTGGTTGCCTTGAAATTTTAAGTTCATTGAATTGGAAAGAGTTAATACAATGAAGAAGAATGATTAAATCATCAGAAACTCAAAATTATATGTTATCTGAACTAAATAAATTATTTAAGTTGATTTGACAAAAGAAAAAAATGTTGTGATAACTAATCATGAAAAGATTTTTTTTTTTTACAGTGTAAGGTAGGGTACAGTTTTATAAGTTGGAAAACTCAGAACAAAACCCACACAATATTTTACACATGAGGCCCAAGAACATCACCTCTGTTTTTTATAATCCCACACCGCGACCTAAACTAAACCCCGAAGACACCATGACTTCTGTAACTTTGCTGTTATCCTGTCATGATAAAGAGCTGTCGGTCATAGTTCATCAGTAGAGTAACAATTCTGAAGCAATTCTTCCTGACAAAACCTCTGCTTCTCATTTATGTCCTAGAGGTTTTCCCAAAACAATTGTGGGTGGAGCAGGCTGTTAGGAAAGTGCTGACAAAGGTGAAGTGGGCTGGCTGCCGCTAATGAAATCTAGGCCATTGCCTCAGACTCAAACCTGGAGCCGATCCAGAGACTGCGTGAGTAATGAGAGGGGGAAGGTGCGGCAGAGGCGCACATTCAATCACACATCTGGCTCCAGCGTGATTAACTAGCTGCCCAGATGTTAGCCCGTCGCCCACCAAATGCCATGACACCAAATGCACCGTCCAAAACAAAGTGACTGAGTCCCAAACCGAAATGAAGAAACTGATCCTGCTATACTTTCAAAAACATTTCCACAACAAGAGATACAAACAGAAATGAAAAGTGAAACAATTAAAAGAAAACTAGATATCTTATCTATCATAATCTGATCACAATTACAATTGTTTTTGTCTTTTTACTGGGTTGAATTTGATTTGGCAAGAAAGCAATAATATGGGTTTTTTTAAGTATACAAGATATATTTGTTTACAATTACCACATTTTTTAATTAGTAATCTTGCGAGGAGACGCGTCACTTTTCATCATCTTCCATCCATACAAACTTTGGCACCTAAAAATCCTCCCGCCCACATTTTCTTGAATATCATTGTGTTTTAAGAAAGTCATGACATTTTACACTGTACTAATCTTTCCTTGATATCTGATGCATTTATTGGTTTACCTTTCTATTGTGTTTTAATTGGTTTTGTATGGAAGCTTGTTTCCGCCATAGAATGAAAAATAAAAAAGGTTTGCGACTTTTTATCTCACAATTCTGACTTTTTTTCTCACAATTGCGAGATGTAAAGTCAGAATTGCGAGATATAAAGT